CTTCATTGGTGGAGAACGGAGTAAATCTAGTCGGTCACTACGGAGCGTGGGTTATTACCTTTACATACATTCTCCGTATAAGCTAATAAGACGCAGAACAGAAGTGGGTCAGCTGATGACATCTTTCCGGCCCCAAGGAGACACAGCATGGAATTATGTTCGCGAAACACCAAAGCTTTCGCCTTTCCTTCGATGGGTCACTCGCGGAACTAATCTGTACGAATGCACAGTCTTGTCGGGGTGGCCAGCAAAAGTAGCTTCAAACCTTCCTGATGGTAGCTACGCCACGAAAGATCTCTTTGAACCGCATCCAACTATTGAGAAAGCTTGGAAATACATAGCTCGCCTCGATGACACCATTGCATTGCTAAACGGAGAGAAGTTCAACCCAGTCATGATGGAGGGCACCATTCGATCGCATCGAGCTGTTAAAGAGACCATTATTTTTGGTTTCAACCGACCTTGCCTAGGCATCTTGATTGTGCCTGCAATTGAAGGCACTTTCGAGTCTGAAATTGTTGATGAGATATGGCCTGTTGTCGAAGCAGCAAATCAAACGGCAGAAGCATACGCAAGGGTATCCAAGGACATGATTCGGGTCCTGCCGTACGATTGCCCATATCCCCGTACAGACAAGGGAAGCGTCATTCGACAAGCCTTTTATAAGGAGTTCGCAACCGAAATTGAGAATGCATACGATGCCATGGCAACAAGCCACGGTGACCTCAAAATTCTTACTGGGTTAGAACTGGAGAACCACCTTCGTTCTATCTTAATCAATCACACGCCACTTGCAAAAGATATAGACCGTACAACCGATCTCTTCTCACTAGGAGTTGACTCCCTCCAATCCATCCAGGTGCGAACGGAGATTCTCAAGACTGTCCATATTGGCGGCAACAAACTTGGCCAGAATGTCGTTTTCGACTATCCGACCATTGCATCACTCAGCGCTCACCTTCACCGCCTTCGCCGGTGCGAAGGAGAGCAACAGTTGACACTAGCCGAGCAAATGGGAGATCTTGTGTCCCGATACAGCTCTTTTGAGCCAGTCCAAAAGAGACGCTTCATTGCACTTACTGGTGCCACAGGCTCTCTTGGAGCCCACGTCCTTGTACAATTAGTCGGGCGTCCCGATGTTGAAGCAGTGCACTGCTTAGTACGCGCCAAGACCAACCGCGATGCTATGCAGCGTGTTCGAAAGTCACTTGTAGACCGAAAAGTCTACCATACGCTATCGCTCTCGGCGCGTAGAAAGATACATGCACTAGCAGCAGATCTTTCCGATGCTCGCCTTGGCCTAGATGACGCGGCCTACACAGGAATTGCTTCGAATCTTACTAGCATTATACATTGTGCCTGGAGCGTCAACTTCAATAAGAATCTTGTTTCTTTCGAAAAAGACTGCATTGCCGGTGTGCGCCATCTCATCGATCTTTGTATAGCTACATCCTCGGCGGCGCCTGCATCTTTTGACTTTTGCTCGTCGGTCAGCACAGTCACGCGGTGCCCTGATTTGCATACGCCCGAACGAGTAGCGGAATATGATTGGGCTCAGGGTATGGGATACGCACAGAGCAAGTGTGTCGCAGAGCGCATTTGCATGGCCGCTGCAGAAAAGGCAGGCATCAAGGCTCGAGTGCTGCGTGTTGGTCAGATCGTGGCTGACACAGTGCACGGGATATGGAATGCTACCGAGGCCATTCCTCTCATGATGCAATCTGCGCTCACCGTTGGAGCGCTTCCCAAACTACGAGAGTCGCCGAGTTGGACGCCTGTCGACGTGGTTGCTAAAGCAGTGACGGAGATTTCACTCAGTGATGCGGGTTCTGTGGTCGCAAACGTTACAAATGCAAAGACGTTTTCGTGGACAGAAGAGCTTCTCCCTGCTTTACGCGAAGCCGGCCTTGACTTTGAAGAGGTCGAGCCCAAGGAGTGGGTGCGGAGGCTTCGCGCATCGAACCAGGATCCAGTGGCCAATCCATCCGTCAAGCTGGCTGATTTCTTCGCGTCAAAGTATGACAATGATAATTTCAGTCCTACACGGACATATAAGACGGTTATTGCGCGCTCGTACTCGCCTTCGCTAGATGCTGCTCCCGTGCTCAGCACAGAGTTTGTCAAAACTTTTGTTAAGCAATTCCAAGCAACAGCATGGCGCGATCACACTTGCAAGGTCACAGAAAAGAAGAGGCTTGTCGTATTCACCGGACCCTGCGGAAGCGGTAAGTCGACTATCGCGAAAAACCTTGCTGGCCGCTTCAAGGCTTCGTTCATCGAGGGTGATGATCTGCACACAGCAGACGCAGTCACGGCAATGGCCGCGGGGACACCTCTCAATGACCAAATTCGGATACTCTGGCTTGAACGTCTCAAGAAACGAGCTGTCGATACTAGTACTATGCTAGGCTATGATTGCATCTTCCTTTCTTGCTCTGCTCTGAAGAAGTCTTACCGCAATCATCTTCGCAGCTTTCCTACCGACGATGTTGATGTCACGTTTGTGGATCTGCAAGTGGAGCAGGAGGAACTTGTACGTCGGGTCAAGGAGAGAGAAAATCATTACATGAAGCATAGTATGGTGGAGAATCAGCTTGCTACCTGGGAAAGACCTGATGTCCTAGAGATAGATGTACTTCCGGTTGATGCTGGGCAGCCTGTGGAAATGGTCATGGAAGAAGTGGCAAGCCTTTTGGACGCAGTTGATCAAGATGGGTAAGATAGTCAATCTTTCGATCCGACTGAGTACATGCATGATAATACTTTATGTTGTTCAAAGTATAAACAGTCGCGGTCCTCTGTTCCGATGAGTGCATCGATATACTGTAGCAAGAAACTTTGCACGTTACTCCCGCCATTAAAGGTTTGATAAGGCGGGATATCATCCTCCTGCTCGTAGATAATACTATAAGATAATTCCGAGGATTCTATGTTCGCTCTTTCGCAGCTGACAGTTGCCGTATGCTATCGAAAAACGGCATAGTGCTACAAAGAAGTCGAGCGCTAACCCATTTAATTGCCGTAGAGATACTGATGAACTATGATCCATTAACAAGCCCCCTAAAATTGCCGTTTGTCGGAAGGTTTTCCAGTCCCATGGCATTGTTTCCATCTCTGAGATACTAATTCTGCAGACAATACACCACGCATGTCGTAGTAGGCACTATGCCATGGGCTTTGTATATCGCCGGGTATTAATTCGAGAGTACCTGAGGAACCTTCTAAGGCTATGTGAGACTTTTACTGGAGATTATGAGAGAGATAGAAAGAGTAAACTCGCAGGGCTCAGGTTGCTATATGTCAACGCTTCAAGTGCGCAATAGCATACCAAGTCCAGCAGTGTCGAAGTGCGCTTTCCCGGACTTTCCTTCCTCGCCGCGTAGTCATCTTCATCCCACAATACTTCATGGGGCAGCCTTTCTAAGCGCCCATTGGTGGAAGGTATGTATCCAAAAAATACACAATTGAATTTTTAGGATTTTCGTTTGAAGGCTCCTTCTGAGGAAGTCGAGGAGCCGCAGCAATGGAGGATAAAAAAAGACGAAGGCGACAACCAGGATGACCCGGGTGAGTGTGACATTCCATTGCCTGACCCAGACCTTCCCCCAATCCGACAACAGCCGAGCACATACCTCTTCTTCCCACCGTTCTAATCCCTGTTCTTAGTAAGGAAAACTTAGGGTTGTCATCAATCTCCCCAAAACCCCACATTTCGATATCTGACCGAGCTTCCACACCCAAAAATGACTGTCCCCTTCAAAACGACAGTACCAGCAACACCATTAGGGACTCCTGTCTCCCCAAAGACTCTGAGTAGAGCTACTGAAATAAGAAATATAGAGCATCTCGTGCTTCATTGTTTAAGGTCATCGATGAGACAAAAGTGTTCGAGGGACTTATTGTCATGGCATCATCTACCGAGAGGTGTCGAGCACTAGCAACTGAGTAGTGCCGAAGGCTCAGTCACACGCTTCTTCGCTACTGTAGCCAATAAGATAGAGTAACCCCCTGTCGCGTACGTTCTTACATCGGTGTAGAGTTCATAGCCGATTATTTATCCAGCGCGGTACCTGTAATATACTCGCGCTTTCGTACACGAGCCGCCCAGATCCGCGATTTCCTTGTCATACGTACCTAAATAAGCAGCCTTAGCCGAGTGCTTCATACCGCTTACCTCGAAGTACACATCTGTCACACTTGATGAAATCTTGGGTGCAAACAAAGAGTGCAAGGCGAAGTGGCATTGCAATCTTGGTATCCCACCTGATAAGTAGCTAATCTTGTTTTTCTCCAGAGATGAAAGGTCTAAGACTGGGAATACGAAGGGGACTGATATTCCACCAAACAGTGCTTACACAGTAAAGCTCGATTTCTGTTTACGTATACATAAGCGGCGGTGTGGAAGGCCATTGAGGCGGTGTTCATTTGCAGACGATGCATGGCTGGGTATTCTAAACAAGCACGAGCCTCGTGCCGGCTCTTCCAATCTTGGAAGTTAGTTATCGGACCTTTTTGGGATTGGCGACTGCGAGTTTTAGTTCACGGTATTACTAGTTAATTTACAGATATTGCTTGGTTGTATGATTTAGGAAAAGTGCCGAATTACAAAACGTAACGATCTAGACACTGTCAAGGATGGTTATGGGGAACTAGCGGTTTCCAGAAGGACTGGAATGTCCTGCTGTGTACGTGCATTTACTGCCTCGGGTATTGACCACACTTAGCCCGTCGAGGATTAGACCCCTGTGTTACCATATCATCCGTCGACTTGTTCATTGGTCAGACCGATACTTAGGGCATTGTCCGTGTAATTTGTGAGTGGTAAACACGGGCGTACGGCAATACTATAACGGCGCTTCTTTAATGCTGGGCTTTCGAGTTGCCTTGCTTTATAAAAGGATAGAGCTGGCCCGACTATGTCCTATACAGCACCTGCCATTTCACGCTTCTCAACAGCCAGCATAATCTTCCTACTCTAATTCCGATAATCTACACTCAAGATGCGCGTCGCTCTTCTCGCTGCCATCCTTCCAGTGGCCCTCGCTGGCTGGAACCCCAAAGCATGCAATGGAGCTGGAGGCTGCACCCACGTTGGCTTCTCCACTCCGGACCCTTATGTCTGCCCTGATGGCAGCAGATTGAACCTTCCTTCGTTTGCGAATGAAAACTTGAACGCTGGCAATGGAAACGCCGATTCCGTGTCGAAAGACGACTTCCCCAAGACGTGCACCAGCGGCGCTGTCCCTCCTGCCGACGCTACCTTCATCGTAAGCAAAGCCTTATCACTCGACTTCCAGAAACGACAGTCGACACACAAAAATACCTATACTAATTCCCATCAGAAAGTCAAGTCGGTCAACAACCAAACCATGTTCTTTTATGTTACGAGCAAGTGCGATACCCCCAAGCCGGAAGCTTTCAACTGCTATAACAAGAACCCGAACCCATCTACGTAAGTCATTGACCAAGCTTCTCCGCAGGTAACTAGTATGCTAACTATGACAAAGCCACACATTCTGCTCCATGTATGATAGTAAGGGCGCCTTGTGCAAGGGAAACCCCGCGGCCGGATACTGTGAGCGTTGGGGATACTCGACCGTCAACCCCCAGTGCGACTTCTGGAAGCCAGGCGGCCCGGACCTCCCCAACACGCAATGATTTCACTAGCATAGCTTCTTGTATATATTATACTGGCTGAAGACACCATCGTGGTGATATGTAGGCTTTGGCACAGGACGACAAGGAATTCGACATGAATTCTTCTTCACTGTCTGCATGGTGATTCGTGTCGAGATATGATTGTGACTCTTATGGTGATAATCACGACGACCTTGGTTGAAAGAGGCTGAAGTATCCATCATTTCAAGTAGAGCAAAGGCCCGGTTCAGTCATGGATCCCTTATCCATTGAAGTAAGGATTTAGCTGGCGTGATTATCCCATTGCGGTATTGCTCCTCGTTGCCAGCGCGTGCGATGAATAAACATATCAATGGCAGTTGCGTTTTGCGAATATGACATGACAGCGGTTGCTTGATTGCAGATGACTGCGTCAGTGACGTACCATGCGGGAATGTCCCATCCATTAAATCTATGGAAGCTCTACTTGTTCTCACCCTTGGAAGACGAGTTATTCATGGCTAGCGGCTACTAGTAATACAGTATGCAAAGAATGAGGTATCTTTTTAACAGGAAAAAAAATCAGATACGCGAAAGGTTTTAGATTGGAGGCTTTGCCTCGCCTGGCACATAATCTTGTGCAATCTTGACAGCGCCCGGGCTAGGCTTGGGGTACGTCGTCCGCCTCTTTGCGCGCACGTAAAAGTTCATCGGACGAATCAATTGGAACTCTGGGTCGTATGTGACAGCATCATCGCCCTCCTTGAAGAACTCGTACCGATATACGAGTTCTGGCAGGATTACCTTGACTTCGCCGAGTGCAAAGTTGAAGCCGATGCAGCTCCGAGGACCGGTTGCGAAAGGCATGTATGAGTTCTTTGGACGGTTGGCTACTTCTTCAGTGCCCCAGCGGTCTGGATCAAAGCGGTCTGGATTTGACCAGATGTTTGGGTTGTTGTGAATGGCGTGCAGAGCACAGATGACTACAGATCCAGCAGCAAGCTTGTAGCCGCCTGGCACAATACAGTCGACCTTGACCGTGCGGCCCGGTTGGAAGGATGGGTTGTGTAGGCGTTGGGTCTCTTTGACGAATTTATCAAGGAAGGTCAGGCCGTCAGAGAGTTCTGGCGTCCATTTGGTGTTCTCGCTGACACCAGCATCGACGAGTTCCTGCAGCAGTCGGTCTTGATTTCCAGGGTATACGCACAGCGCATAGAGGAGCCATGAGAGCAGTGAAGAGGTGGTTGTGAAGCCAGCACCTGCTATCGGTAGCATGTTCGGAATGACAAGGTCACGTGGTAGCTTGTTGCCTTGGTCATCGGTGGCACGCTTGAGGTAGTCTACGACGCAGCTTGCTCCGAGAGCAGCTGAGTGCAGAGGCAGATCATCTTCGGTATCGCCTTTGGGCGCATTGTCGATAGCGGTGTTCATAATATTCCACAGCTTGGCGCCGACATGGTGGAGGTACCAGGGGGCCGTAAAGGGCACAACGCTCAACTTGGAATACCAAGCACCTCGCGACATGACCTTCTTGTTGAGGGAGAGTGAGTATGCGATCAAAATGACCAATTCGTTCAGAGGTGAGTCTGGCGTATCGAAGTGATGTGAATCGTAGCCAAGCGCAAACTTGAACACTGTCTGGGACGCCAGCTTCAGCATGTACTGGTATGCATTCCAGGCCTCGCCTTGTTCGTCCAGCTGGTCGAAGACCTTGAAAGAGTCCTTGACGGAAGCTTCCATCAGGGGCGTATAATGTCTGATGGCCTTTGGAGCCATGGAGGGTGGGATGAACTTGTGCGCTACTCTCCATGCTTCAGTATCAGTGTCGCAAATGAACAGCGCTCTGTTATCTTTAATGCCGGCCAGAGGATGGTCTGGTGTGATAAGTTTGCTGAAAAACTCCGACTCTTGAAAAGCTACTGTTGCAACAGCGGGGTCGTTGGTCAAGTAATTCATTTTGCCCATTGAGTCGTATTTGATAATTGGCCCATACTTCTGGAACAAGCGAGCGTGGTTTCCCTAAGGAGGGTCAGTTGTGCTATGGGCATGGACAGCAGCCGACTTACCAGATGGTCGGGAAACACCTCGTAGTAGCTACCTACGAAAGGAAGGCCTTCAGGACCAGCAGGATCTCTGATAGCCTGGCCGTCGACTGTGATGCCAAGATGTTCCTCGCAGTCCAGGACGGCGTCCAGGTCTGGCAAATCGTTTCCTTTGGCATCTTGCAGGGCAATACCTGAGCAATAGCAGATTAGCCGATGTATGGGCGAACAAGGGAAAGTGCTGAAATGCGTGCTTACCGGTTGGCTGGATGATGTTGTATTGTTCAGCTATGGCGATTTGTAGGGACTCAAAGTCATGGCATTGGCCAATAGGAATGTCTTGGTGGTAGACGTCTTTGTCTTGCCCAACAAGGTAGAAGCCTTTAAGAGTCATTTTGTGCAGTGGTCCAGTGTGAGACAGGTGTGTGAATCAAGTCTCAGGGCTCGGTCAGGGAAGCAACAAGGCGACGAAGAATTAATATCGTAATTCCACCCTTCCCCTTTGACGGCGACAGTGGTGGGACACATCCATATCATCGGCCAAGAGAGTGGCTAGCGTGATAATATGACGCAGGGCCACTCGCCAGCACACGAATTCGTATCCTGGAGGGCATGAACCGAGGCATCTTTACAAAAAGCGTAGTGGTAATGAAGGTCGTGCGAGGAGTCCGGCCGAACCCTTTTGTCTGCAGGTTCTGTGCATCCCAGGGGGGGTCGGAGATAAATGCGCGTGCGCCACAAGGATGCCGATCACTGTGATGCGAGTCTGATTAACGGCGGCGCTGCCATTGGCGGGGACGAAGATGAGCCTCGGCAAGTGGGCATCATCCGTCTCCACTCCCAACGGCCGACGGTGCCTCTGCCTCCGACCTTCTTTTTTGCTGCCGTCATAGCGTTTTGAAATTTGCATGCCAGCACTGCAATTGTGATCTGTGCATGTGCAATGGCCACTGCCGATCCACTCTCCTCGTGCGACGCCATGGCGACGGTCATGGCAAGGCGGGATGGCGTCGAGCAAAAGCTCCCGTCGTCGCAGCCTCGTCTCTCGCGACCAAGTGCATCGCATTCCATCACTCCAACTCATCCTCCAGCATGGCCGACGCCGTATACACTCTCGCAGAGGTAGCCAAGCACAACACCAAGAATGACCTCTGGCTCACTCTCTGGAACTACGTCTACGATGTGACCGACTACCAGGAAGAACACCCTGGCGGCAAGGAGTTTCTTTTCGAGAACGCCGGAGCGGATGCCACCACTGCATACGAGGACATTGGCCATTCCACCGACGCCAGGGAGATCCTCGAGAACTATCGAATTGGCCGCCTTGCCGACGATGACTGGACCGATCACGAGGCAAACAGAATGCCAGTCATCAAGCCAAACAAAGTCTTTGTCGTCAACAAGCTCCCCACGCCCAAGTCAAGTCTTGCCCAACTACCAACCATGGGACTTGGACTGGCCTCGATCATTTTGTCTTATGTCTACGGCCACAAGGTCACGCCGTACTTGCGCCATCTCCAAAGCAGCGGCTTCTGGAAGGGCTTTGCAGTCTCTTCCATTGCCAGCATGGCCCTCGCGGGCTATGCCAGTGTTTGGGCCACCAAAAGTTTCGATGTCGCACACATGGATTTCAGGGCGTATCCCGCGCATTACAGGGCAAAGTCGACGGCATCCAAGCCAACCAAGAAGAAGGACATCAATCTTGGTGTCCTAAACGCCCGCGTCTACCAGCCGTTTCCGCTGATTGAGAAGACAAACGTTTCCCACGACACCCTTCGCCTCGTTTTTGGCCTTCCTAGCGAGAACTCTATCCTTGGCCTACCCACTGGCCAGCACGTTGCAATCAGGCATGAGGTTGATGGCAAGCAGATTACCCGATCATACACACCAACCTCCAGCAACCAAGACCTAGGCCGACTGGAACTGACAATCAAGATATACGAAAATGGCAAGTTAACACCATGGCTAAACAAGCTGAACATTGGAGACATGGTTGAGATTCGAGGCCCCAAGGGCGAAATGAAATATCACAAGAACCTCGTCAAAGAACTTGGAATGATCGCCGGTGGCACGGGTATCACTCCCATGCTCCAAATTATTCGACGCATCTGCGAAGACCCGCGCGATCATACCAAGGTCACTCTGTTGTTTGCCAACAAAACCGAAGCCGACATCTTGCTCAAAGACCAGCTGGACCGATTCGCCAAGGAGAACAGCCAATTCAGTGTGCACTACATTCTCAGCAACCCTTCCGCCAGCTGGCAAGGTGCAAAGGGCCGTATTAGCAAGGAGCTGATTGAGCAGTATATGCCTGCACCAGCCGGCGCAGACAGCAAGGTGCTTCTGTGCGGTCCAGACCAAATGGTAGACTCCATGTCCAAGCATCTCCAAGAACATGGCTTCAAAGCACCAGGTAAGACATGGCCTCAATGCGAAACCCTTGGACTCTCTGCTAACGCAAATCTACAGGCTCCATCTCGAAACCCCAAGACGAGATTTTCATTTTCTAAGCAGACCCAAAAATTCCTTGGATTCTTAGTCTTCTATTTTTTCTTTCGTCGCCATCAATATTGGCCGGGGCATCTAGGGTAAAGAGGCAACTTGAAGCGCTTGGAGCGTGGGAATACCATATAGACGTGTATCACACATAACAGGGCGTTTGTCTTTCGTAGCCTGAGCATGTAATTTCTAGATACGATAGCCACTTTTGAAGGTATTATATTGGTCCAGAGCCTATGTAATAACATGTTGGGTTTGGTTATTCATCTCTGTTGTTGCTGTTGTATCCCTCGGTGGGGAAGGAAAAAGATATTGGAGCGCAATTCATTCATCCGAAAGCCAATCTACAAGTGATGTACCTTCTATTCCAGTGGGTTCAGAAAGCTTCTAAAAGTTAGCAGACACTTCTTGGTCTGCTAAATTCAGTCTCAATAACATCCCGCTCTGCTCTTCCTTGCTTTTCATGGAAAATGTTGTCTTTTCTAAGAGCGAAATAGGCACTCGTAGATTGTATCGTCGCCATAAAATGCTGTGGAACTCGATCCAGTAACATCAATTGAGGATGACCACTTCCGAGCACTTGGTTTTTGTTTTTTCTCTCTCGAAAATAGTGCAGTAACAATATATAAGTTCACGAACAGATGTCGGTAACTGAATAGCAAGAAGCAATCGCCGACCGGAATCCGGCATGCCCGAAGCGCGGTGCCGCAAACCAGAGGCCCGAGCTTTTCGGTCGCAGTTAATATTCACGAGAGCAAATAGTGGCATGCTACCCGTCCCGCGGCGCAGCTCGTCGCAACTTATAATAACCCTCCCACTGGGTCCAATTGCTCTCAGAGATACTCGTCCGTCCTCCAGTGTCGTTCCCCTCTCCCTTCCGTCTCCTCCACCATCACCATGAACACCATCTCCCCGCCCCCGCAAATAAAACGGCTCTCAGGTCCCAAGCGTATTCTCGGTATCCTCGTCGGCATTACAGGCGGCTTGGGCGCAAATGCCCTGCTAGCCTACAGCGTATCCTCCTTCTACACCCGCAACACCAAATTCGTACCCTTTGACACCTCCGCCCCGGACCTCGCGACCAAGACGTTCCGCAACCACAACCCCCTCAACAACCCGCCCGCCTGCATAGACCACGCCATCAAGCAGGTCCCGTACGGAAAGCTGCCCGAGAAGTACTGGGTCAAGGGCAGTGGGGGACGCATATCGGTGGACCAGAAGGCGCTGGCGACGGATTTCTGTAGGGGCATCTGGAGTGGAGTCGCTTTCCGCGTTCAGAGGCGGTACTTGGAGAGGAAGTATCGCGCGCTTGAGGGCAGGCAAGATCATCTCTGGGATGTCAAGGACTTGGAGAAGAGTACTTATCCCGTTGGAACCAAGATTGTCGATCATTTTGAGGTCGTGGAGCATTCGGATGACAAGGTATTGTCATGAGTCGCAGCGCCAGCAAGTGTGGTATGCTAATCAACGTGGTGGCTAGGTTATCGTGCGATGTGGTGATTCACCGCTGAACCAAAATCAGCGACCTTCGGATGGTCTGTTTTCTATGGAAGTATCAAAGGATGACGAAGCACAAATGGCGACTTTTCACCTCAAGTCTGTTTTCCTAGATACATCGCCAGAGGGTAAGAGCACCCAGCCTCTGCCCGCGAACTTCCAGATTGCGCATCGCTGGTACACTAAGCTGTGGATGGAGAGCGCAACACGCAAGTTGATCAAGGAAGCGTAAAAGTACTCGTGGCAGGAATTGGAGGAGTTTGTACTTGTGTGCAAGACATGGGTAATGATTAGCCGTTGAATAGTCATGTTACTAGAGAGAGATCTTGTCTATACAGACGCTTGCCGATTTTTTTTGTATATACTTTCTGTATACCCTTGCGCTGCTTTAGTTAAAGAATAACAGAAGCAAACTTTCCGCTCAGAATGACCTTGGACAAAGTCGCTTGCAGAAGCGATACACTTTTGGTACGAGGTCATATTGTTGCAGCGCCAAGCTCAAGTTAATCTAGAGCACCCAGGTGGGCTTCTTCTACCAACAAAATGCTGGACAGTATCCGGAAAACATGCTATTGCGTCTAGCTCCTGAACAACATCAGACCAGCTTCCTCTGCGTCCACTTGCTCTTCCTCTTCACTCTCAACCTCGTCATGCTCCCGAAGCCCCAGCCTCTGCCCAAATAGACTACCAAACAGCTCATCTCTCTGCCGATCACCCCACTCACCCCTGTCTTCTGGCGCCATGAAATTCTGTAGCTTCTCTTGGACAGTGTACCGAAGCTTACGCCCCTTGCTAGCCTTCGTATCAACAATCTTCTTAGTCTTGGCCTCACGGGCTACCTGCCATGGCGCCTGCACAACAAATTCGGCCGTTCCGTTAGCATTGAGATCGGCAGAGCGTTGCTCGAGGAGCTCCTTGAGCATCAAACCGTAGAAATCGGCGTCGTCGTAGATGGCGGGGTCGGGCTGCGCTGCTTTGTTGGATGATTGAAGGGGTGCACATGAACGAGGCGTTTGTGTGCGAGTGACGAGATGGGATGATTTAAGCTGTGAATCGAGGACTTCGGTGAGGGTTTGTTGCGCAGAAGCGTTGAGACGAGCCTTGTTGTTGGTTACCGTCGTGGCTTTCGTCTTGTTTGACCACCGCTCAAGAATTGCTTTGCGGTGTGGCAGAGTGCTCTTTTCCGTGTCCTGAATAGTAGACCAGATTTCCGATGACGGGGTCGCATGGTCGAAATTGGCGCGCTTCCGCTTTTGGCCTGTTCGTGACTCTTCCAATGATAACCGGAGGTTTGTAAGATTATTCAACAATGTCAAGGCTGCGGCCTCTGCAGCCTCGACCGGTGCTTCCTGAACAGTTTCATTATGGTAAGGCTCCGCAGCCATAGAGTTGGTACTGATCAGGGCTTTTTGTAATCGGATGCGGGAGTTGAGTAGTGTATCAAACGTCTTGCGCTGTGTCTTGACAGCCTCTCCTTTGGCAACATCGGACTGGGTGCCGGCGGCAATTGTCGATGTGAAAGACTTGCTTGCAGCCATGAGATCACGTACAGCAGACACATCGGGCTTCTTGTCTTTGCTGGGTTGGTCCTCATCGGAAGCTTCAGAGTCCTCTTCATCCTCTTCGTCTTCTTCGTCGTCACTGACATCCTCGGCAGAGCTTCTTATCTCTTCGTCTTCATCACTCATGTCCAGGTCCAAACCGCCGTCGGCGTCACTTCCACCACTCTCATCTTCACTACCAAGCTCAGCGTCGTTGATGTCGTCTTCTCCTTCCTCATCACTAGCTTCGCTATCCTCGTCATCGAAACCTCTCGCAAACGGATCGTCGCTGTCGCTATCCTCGAGAGCCTTGCGGTCTACTTTGCGCCCAGTATACTCCGGTCCGAGGGGCACCTCAACCGGCTTGCGCAGCTTGCTCTTTCCTACAGCTGTATAATGCTCGCGCCCAACTTTCTCGTCTTCGACGTCTGAGATGTCGCTACCAGAACGCTCGTCCTCGCTGGAGCTGGGCGCAGGGTCGAGTAGGGACTCGGGATCGAAATCTGATGTATGCGTTAGAATTATTCCCATACCGCGACAATAAAGAGCTCCTACCTCTAGTCTTGGACTTCTTCATGATGTCAATGTTGGATTATGGTATTCTTGGTTGCGGGTGCACGCGAAGAGAAAGTTCCCTCTGTGCCCCACAAAAAAGTCAAAAGATGTCGGCGTTTCATTTTGCCGATGCGCGTCACCTCCGCGACCAACTCCGCAACTCGTGTTGCATCTCGAAACCATGTTGAAGCCACGGCTATTTTCAACATTGCGGTGTTTGCAGCATGAGAACCCCCTCGTATGTTGTGGTGAATACGTAGGCGGGCGCAGTGGCTGATGTCTGGCGCAGGGCCTTCCGCGCTCCGGCGCGCCGCCGCAAATGCCTCGGATGCAACGAGGATTGCCACAGAAGCGGACCATCAAAGATGTGAAAAGAGTGATTGCTGTTTCATCGGCAAAGGGTGGTGTGGGCAAAAGTACCATTGCCGGTATGCCAGGCTTATGTCCACGCCATGGCCGACGTCGACACGCTAAAACCATGTTTTAGTGAACCTGGCATTGAGCTTCGCGCGGCAAGGTTACAGAGCTGGTATATTGGATACTGATATATTCGGTCCATCCATACCAACTTTACTCAACCTATCTGGCGAACCTCGATTGTCTACGAGTCAGTCCCGAGCGCGTCCAAGCACACTGACACGTCCTGACTTTGCCTACCAGACAACCAACTCATACCCCTCTCCAACTATGGCCTCAAGTCCATGTCCATGGGTTACCTCATCCCAGAGTCCTCGCCGGTAGCATGGCGTGGCCTAATGGTGATGAAGGCCATGCAACAACTGCTCCATGAAGTCGAATGGGGCGGTCTGGACGTCCTGGTCCTTGACATGCCACCTGGAACTGGGGATGTACAGCTTACCATCACCCAGCAACTGGTATTAGACGGTGCTGTCATTGTCTCTACACCTCAAGATCTATCTCTCAAGGATGCCGCAAAAGGCATCGAGCTGTTTCGAAAAGTCGATGTGAAGCTGCTGGGCCTTGTATGCAACATGGCGGGCTTCAAGTGCCCAGGATGCGGAGATGTACATGAAATATTTGGCAGCATGAAGAACATCAGAGACATGTGCAACAAGTACGATTTGAACATGCTAGGCGAAATTCCCTTGCATGGCAGCATTAGCGAGAATGCAGATCGGGGTAAGCCGACTGTCGTGTCGGAGCCAGATGGAGAGCGAGCGATGGCTTTTGGTAGCATTGCCCAAGAAGTGGAGGCATTAATTGGCTTGCAGAGATGAGTCACCATCTCAGCTTGATCCAGTTCATGATGGATCCTGGGCCAATCATTCAAATTGCCAAAAACCGAATACATAAAAGTTCTCTAGCCCTCAGCTGTTTCCTGGTGCCGAGACGACTCACAACATACTTCACCCACCCCCTTCATGACTTTTGCAATCGCAACTCAGCTTTGGATGGTATCCTAACAAACCCATGCATGTTTGGGAAGCATAATTGCAGCCATGTTGACAAATGATGGACATTCGGAGTACTATTTGAATCTTTTTCATTGTTCATTAAGAGCTTTGCCATTCCTAGCCCTCTCATTCATCCATTCCCGGATTGGTTCCCATTTTCGACAAGTATGTGCTCCCGACCGCCCTAGGGAAAGCGGGAATCCTGGCCACGAGTAAAGTGGAGACGCAGTCAGATCGCCGTGGCACATGAGGGCTTGTCGAATGCGATCCAAACAATGTTCCATATGTTTTATGTGCCACCTGGGGTCCCCAAGTTTCTCTGCTATCTTCCTCTCGGTTTGAGAGTGAGCAGTATGCTCATTGGAAATGTTGTAGAGCACTGGTTGAAGCTCGTTGCGTATTGTATTGAGGCAGTGGAGGGAATGAAAAACATCGGGTCTAGGAGGGTTGAGTAAATTTGTCAAGGATGATCTTCTTCATAAACAGAGAGCAAAGCTGGGTTATGTCTTACTCAAAATGGTACTCTCCATCTTTGTGCTGAGGAGTCAAATCGTCCAAAAAGGGAGTGGCTTCTTCCTTGCTCATAGTCGGGAATTCGTCTGAAGCTAGTGTTAGAATGGGAATCTCATAATCTATTGGCATACGCAGCTGAGTTTGATACGTACCATGTAGCAGTTCTTCCCATGCTTGCTCTATTTCTGGACTTGGCAGCCCGAAGTATTCCACTTTTGCGTCGTGTAGACGTATGACTCGACGCTGATCCATATCGTAAGTCAACGCTCCAGTATATGTTTGTTGCTCATATTGGACGGCCTTGCGTGCGTCTTGGAAGTCTGTTTGCCAGAAACTGGGACTGCGACGAGACCAGATGGTAAAATTTGTGATGGTAAATACCAAAAGCAACAACAGATTAATGGCTGTCGACCAATACCAACGTCGGTAATGGCTGTGCTGAGCAATCCATCTACCTGTTTGTGGTGCCTCATCCTCATGGAGAAAAGCAGTCTCTTCGTCATTTTCTTTGTCGGAATTTGGCATTTTGGGTTCGAAGATCGAGAACAAGTTGTATAAAATAATTCAGTATCGAAATTTCCAGAGCGTCCAATACCCGAGCGCTTAGAGATCGACTGACTAGCTTCCGGATTGTTAGGACAGTTGTTAGACCTTGGTGAGCTGGAGAAAAATCCGAGCTTGATAACCTCCACCAATGGATAAATCAAAGGAATAAGGTTCATGACGCCATGTGTATACGCCGGTAACAAGATGGCAGCGGAATGTCACGGATAGATATGCTGCTGACGAGATTTCCTTGGCTCTCAGCCCAAACTTCTACCGCTTTTTTCCCTCGGTATTTGTAGTCAATAGGTTACAGAGAAGTCAATATCATGGAAGGCAGGAAGATTTTTGCGTAATACTCAGCTGCCAACCAGGACATGGGTTCACTTATACTATATGAAGAAATGAGATTTGAAGTTGACATTCCACGAGAAGTAGCTCTTTACGAGCGTAGTCGTTCGGAAGATATGGGATCCGCATGGCTAGCAGTACTTCAGCATTCTCGTATGGAAGCAACAAGCTTTCGATATTGCTTGGATATTGATCGGACCGATAGGTGTGATTCTTAGGCTGCTTATTGCTGACTGCATCGTCGATGAATTTCAGGAAGACTTGCCCGTGCGTCATACTCGAATGATCATCACACCGACCAGTAAGATGACACAATACTATTACTTGGAAGACCTTTAAGCAGGATCTCGTCAAGACTTCCAGAATTGAGCTTTCTGACCAATTATCATCCATAGTCTCACGATACTGTGCAGTGTAGAGTCTCGTCTTCTGAGCATGTTGTGAGAGTAGGTGATGATATAGTTGCGTATGAATGAGACGGAGGGTTCAAATACAGGTTCTCAGAACAGCTCAGTGGAGTAAAACGATAATATGGTGATATTAATCTGCTAGTCCCAAAAGAACCATGTCTTTCTGATGCATCCAGTATCATCTCCATATTTGATTTACTTCATTTGGGATTCTATCCACCCCGTCTTCAAAAAAAGCCTTGTTAGTCAGTCTCTTCACGGGCAGCTCTCTTGTCGGCTTCTTCGCGAGGAGCTCGCTTTTCGGTTCTATCATCGCTGAATTGAAGACCTCGTTTGTCGAATTCGGCCTGTGAGCCGGTTCCATCAGACTCAAGAAGAAAGCCTCGTTTTTCATGAGATGTAGTCGCCGAAGAATCAAGTCGTCGCGCATCTATGGCTGCCGCACGGACAATGACAGGGCCATACTCTTCTAAATAGTTTTGTTAGTCTCAGATGTTTGTAATATGGGAAAGACTGCAAGTATACCACGATCCACACTAGGGGTGGGTGCTGCCAGAGCAAATCCAACGATGATGGGCGTGACGAGAGCGGAGAAACGCATTGTCAGATGAGATGAATAATGTGTAGTAGATGGAGAAGTCTTTAACCAAAGGTTAAAGATCTTAGCTAGTGGCCTCCTCCCTCTTATAGTGTCGGCTTCCTTACACAGTGGGGGTGGGAAAAGACGCAGCTTACCCAAGGACAAGGTTCACGTCTATCGCAAACATCTAGTCGGCAAAGGTGTCGCAAGTAGTTTGCGACATACGTAGTACATGCATAATTGGCCGAAATTTTATGAACACACAGACGTTTGTATGTAGCTACTGTAGTTACATGGGACTTACGGATGATGCGGGACTCGGCACATGTAGTAGGATCATCGGATATAGTCTTTGGCTTTCTCCAAGCTGCCCTGCATGCTCTCTGATAAGCATGTGTATTAGACATTTTCTAGAGCTTATCAGCCCGCTGCGTATGTAATCCATGTTTTTTTTAAATATATTATTCAATATAAATCCTTCATCACTCTGTGATTGATCCAACTCGAGCACTGGCATTCTTATACATAGGTTTGTTCTTCTCATACTTTGAGATTGGACGCAATATACGTGATAAGAGCAGATAAAACGATGTGAAATGATAGCTGACTACCGAGACAGACTACACAAACACCCTATTAACTAACGAGCAAGAAAGCTACAAAGGTTTATGCTAGTAGAAAAAATGACTGAAAAGCGTCCAATAGATGCAAGCTTGGCAATTGCCATGAACATGGAAGTTAGAAGTGGTGACAGCTACTTGACACAAGGAAGCTCTGGTGTTGTCCACAGGGTTGGTCTAGTAAGCACTACATGCCAGGATACTAGAGATGACCGTCTTGGGTTAGTGTCCCAGTCACGTGATGGAGACTAAGATACATGTTAATACAACCACAACTACAAGAACAACCAAAACCGAACGGAAACCAGGACAAAGTAGCTGAAGCGGCCAGCGAATGCCGGATAGATATTGAAGGGATCGAGGCATTTACGGGGTTATCGCCTCAAGATGTAGCAAAGGACGATAAGAGCCACGGTATACCCCTCATCCGCTCCCTGTTAAGGCTGTCGGTAGTATGCTAAGACTAGGGGACGATTGCTTTATACCCGACGATATCATAGGTAGGTAACGGAGGGCGACTTGCAACCAAGTTCAAGTCGCATAGTCTAGTGATAGGCTGAGGTTCGATTGACTAGTGTCAAGGCAGGTTTGGTGGAGCTTGTTCCTGACTACGGCACGGGGGTGGATCTGCAGGCCGCGTAAGTATAACGATAGAAGTCGGGCATTCTAGTGGGCGCGATGCAAGATGCGACGAGTTCATGCAGTCGATGATATGCGACGTGTAGGCCTATGAATGGTCAGCAAGAGACTGAGAGGGTGGTTTGCTTCTCTCCAGCTGTTAGGTAGCTGTCCGTGTGTCTGCAGCACGGCCATGACTATGACTAGCATGACGACAGTTTTGGTCGAGCTGCATGCTCTTCTGTCTACTTAGTGCCGCCATCCATTCACCCACAACGTCGCTTGCTCCACCCTCTGGGCATCACACATTCACCCAACTCGCTCTGCTCTGGCTGTTAGAGTCTTGTCGCCCGCACCGCGCACTGATCAATCCCGGCCCCTGAGCCGCATCTGCGCCGCATGGAAAACGCTGGGCCGGAAAGCCTGCCAGCCGGGAGTCCGCAGCCAAAAAAGCTGCCCGCACCTTCAACCCCGACGTCGTCAGTCCGGCGCAAGATGGCTTCCCATGGCCCTTCGCCCGCCTCCAAAGACGCCGCCGCTTCTCGGAAGCCTACCGTCTCGAGCACTACTACTACTACTGCCACGACAGGTACTGCTCGCCGCCCGCCAGCTCCAGCTCACACCACCGCGACGCGCACCTCGACGAGCGCCGTCAAGCCCCCCGCAGCCTCGACCGCCCGCACCAGCGCCGTAGGAGGATCCAGCCTCAGCAAGCCCCCTACGCGTCCAGCCCCCAGTACTGCTGCGCGTAGGACAATTTCGTCGTCCAAAACAGCCTCGGACCAGGACCCAGAGTTGTCGTCAGTGACGTCGGGAGAGGAGAGCAAGAAGAAGCCACCATTGCGCAAGCCGTCTGTCGCGTCTACTACTGCTGCCGCTCGACCGTCCCCAGGAAAACCAGCATCCAGGCCCTCGCTCTCATCTTCTGCTGCGACTGCGACAGCTACCGCAAAGCGACCCCCGACAACGCGCGCTGCCGCAGATGCAGCAACAACCCGCGCCCCTCGTGCTTCTCTCGGTCCCTCCACCAGGCCGCCAAGCACACGCCCTACTGCTGCTGCTACTTCTACTGCCGCTGCACGCACGACAGCTGCTGGCCCAAAGGCGCTTGCAGGACAGGCCAAGAAGTTATCAGTCCCTGCCTCTGCCCCTCCCCCACAAGCAGCCTCTGAAGCCGAGGACACAGCAGAAGAAGCGTACGACTATCTCACCGCCATGCTCTCGTATAGTACATGCTAACCCCTTTACACAGAGAAAGCCTTGTTGCCTCCACTCATAGTCGCAATGCCGCCTCCGATGCCGAAGTCGAGGTGCGCAAATCTGCCCTTGGACCTGTCAAAGCCGCCCTGGCGAAATTCGGCGAGAGTTCACCCCGACCGGATACCGCGCCGACGGGCTCTGCCGAGATGGATGTGGAGATGAAAAGGCGGAGCGCCCAGATCATGCAGGACTTCTTCAAGGAAACCAGCCTTCGCGACAAGCTGCAGGAACAGTGCGACGACCTCAGTCGTGAGGTGGACAATCTACAACTGGAAAAAACCAAGCTACGGACCCAGCTGGCCGAGGCGCAGGCCGCCATCACTGAGAAGGACAAGCTTATTGCAAACAGCTCCAACGCTACCTCGTCTTCTGAGCAAAGTGCCCATGAGACTCTAGTCCAAGACATGGAGAAGAAGTTTGCCATAGAGACCAAGCAGCTCGAAGAACAGAGCCAGCAGCTCGAGGTGGAGAAGAAGGCAGCCCAGGAGCGAGAGGCCGCCGAAGCTGCCAAGGCACTCGAACTGCAGCAGGTGCTAGACGACTTGAATGCTGAGCTCGAGCAGCAGGGCCGCCAATGGGACGAGGAAAAGAAGAAACTAGTCGAGCAAGCCACCCAGATCGACGAGCTTACACAGGAAGTGGCGACGCTGAAGGATGAACGCGACAAGCTCTCGCAGGAACTCGACATTGCCAAGAAAACACTGGAAAATCTCGAAACCAAGTTTGCTGAGCTTGAGCAGAGCCAGGCGGACAATCTTCGTTCGCGCGATGCTAAGATTATCGAGCTTACCAAGACTGTCGATGAATACATGGCTCAGGTGACAAGCAGAGAGGAACAGCACAAGGAGGCTTTGCAAGAAGCACAACAATCTCTCGAGTCCAAAGCTTCCGAGCATTTGGCACTTGTCGAGCAACTACAGACTGAGCTACAAACCATTCATCAGCAACATACTGATGAACTGAATGCAAAGGAGCAGGTCATTGCCACACACGCCGAAACCCAGAAGCAACTTCAGGACGACCTCACCAAGCTACAACAGCGTGCAGATCAGACCTCCGCAGATCTTAAGAGCGAGCGTAATGAATACGCTGAACAACTGCAAGCCAAGATTGACGAGCTTCAGAAGACTACGGCCGATCAGCTGCGAGCAAAAGAAGAAGAGCTATCAGGACATGTCAAGTCTATTGAAGATCTTCAGGAGCAGATTGTGGCGCTTCAACAAGGGTCGACTGACGGTGCTCAGATTGCCGAGAAGCTTAACAAGGAAATTGAAGAGCTGAAAAATGCACATGATGCCGCCATCAAGATCAAGACGGGGGAAAACGACGAACTTGCCCAGAAGATAGATGCTTTGAACAATCAGCTTACCGCTCAGACTGCCGAAATGGAGCAAATTAAAGCGGAGGCTGCTGGCCTGCGAAGTACCATTGATACACTCGAGACGGCTTCACAGCAGCTTGACGCGCAACACGCCTCCGAGGTTGCGAAAATCCAGACTAGCTTGAACGAAGCGAACAAGAAAGCTGATGGTTATAAGTCTGAGCTCGATGCGCTACACGAGAGACACAAACAAGACTTGCGTGTCATTGGGGAAGATTACGAGCGCGAGATCGAATCCCTGAGGGCGGATCTGGAGGGAGACGCCACAAGACGATTGAACACTTTGCAGGCCCACTTCGATTCTCTTGTTGCTGAGAAGAATGGAAACTCCGAGCAACACGAGAAAGCACTTTCCGAGCGATCTCAAGAAATTGAGGCTCTCAAGCAGGAGATCAATGATCTTCGAGACAGCTCTACTTCTGCAACTCGCAACTGCGATGACGCTCTCGCGAAGCTCAAGCACACCGAAGATGAACTGACCGCTGTCAAAGAAGCCCACAGCATTTCGCAGGGATTGGTCGTGGATCTCCAAGCACGCATTGATACCATGAGCAAAGACCTTGCCACTAGCGGAGATCTGCAGGCCAAGCTGGATGCGTTACAAGAAGAGAAAGACGCCACGGCAGATGCTCACGTCAAGTCTCAGTCTATCATTGTTGACCTGCAAGCCCGCCACGACTCCTTGTTGGAAGAGAAGACACTCGCAGAGGATTCTCATGCTCGTGCCATCGAAGCCCTGAAGCAAGATTCCGAAAGCGAGTCAAAGCAGTTGCTTGCAGAGCTGCAATCAAAGTATGACACTCTCCTCCAGGAGAAGAAATCAGCCGAAGATGAGCACCGCTCTGCCGTTGAAAATTTGAAGCAAGAATCCGAAGGTAAATTAAGGCACTCCCTTGAGGAGCTCGAATCCAAGTACAATCTGCTGGCGGAGGAGAAGGGCGCAATGGAAACTGCGCACAAGGATGCTTTGGAGGCCTCTAAATCACAGTCGGAAAGCGCATCTAAGCAACTGCTGGACGACCTCCAAGCCAAATACGACTCACTGCTTGAAGAGAAGAGCACTATGGAAAACGCTCACTTGCAGACGCTACGAGCTTTGGAAGCTGATTCAGAGCAATCTACTAAGTTAGCTCTGGCTGAGCTTCAATCCAAGTACGACACACTGGTGCAAGAGAAGGCTGCTGCTGATCTCGAGCACGATCGTACTATCACAACGCTCAAGGAAGAGGCTGATACCACGTCAAAACAGCTCCTTGGCGAGCTACAAGACAAGTATGATAAGCTCCAGGTAGACTTGAAGACCACTTCGGAGGCTTTGAGTAATCTCCAGACGAGATACGATGTTATTACCCAAGAGAGAGGTAGCGATAACGAGGCCCAAAAGGCAGAAATTCAGAACCTTCAAAGCCAACGGGATGATCTATCTGCACGGCTCGCCGAACTTGAGAAATCTCATGCAGACAGCCTTGCTAAACAGCTGGCAGCCGAAGAAAGTCATGCCAAGGCGCTCGAAACTCAGCATGTAGAAATCGAGCAGAAATACGCAACCTTGCTGGAGATTATGCAGAACGACACGGAGCGATTGGAACAAGAAAGGGCAGCGGCACTTGCAGGCAAGCAAGCTGCGCTCAGTGAGCTCGCATCTCTAAAAGAGAAGTCTGGTTCGTCGGCGAACGCTGAAATTGCAAGCAAGTACGAAGCTCTACTGGCAGAGAAGGTCGCTGCCGACAAGGAACATGAGGATGCTATTATCTTGCTCAAAGACTCTCTAAAGGCAGATTACGAGCAGGCTCTATCCAAGTTGCAGTCGGAGTGCGATAAGTTGCAGCAAAAGATTGCCGAGACGGACCAAGCGCATAGTGATGCGATGGAGTTGTTGAAAGAGGAATTCAAAGCTGGCCATTCGAACGACATGCAGGCTCTGCGGCAGCAGCTCGAGGCTGTGCGGAAACAGCATCAAGATCTCAATGAGCAAAAGACATCGATGGACCATGCCCACGAGGAGGCCATTGCTGAGTTAATGGCAGGCATGGAGGCTAGCACGTCAGAAGCTTTGCGAGAACTTCGCAAGAAGTATGATGACCTTTCGTTGGAATTGGAAGAAGCGCAATTCAATCACTCTGCTGCACTTGAAGCCGCCAAAAAGGAAGCAGCCCAACAACGAGATATGTACTGGGACTCTCAGCTTCAGGAGAAGCTCAAGGCTGATGCTGCTGCCGAAAGCGCCAACATGCTAGCCCTTGGAGAAAAAATCCGCGCAATCGAACGTGAACGCGATGAAGCCATTAGGGCTGCTGAGGAAGCCGAAGACCGCATCGAAACCATGAAGGGTGAAGTCGTGCGCAAGCACCTGGCCCGTGTCGAACCGCTGGAGAAGCAGAACTTACAACTCCTCGATAAGATTGATCGCCTAGAAGCAATGCTTGCTGCCGGCGATAGAATTGCTCGTGCTGCTGCCAGCTTGGGTGAGAAGCGGGACATGATCACTTTGGCGGAAGAGGAAGAGGAGGAAGACAACGGCAGAGGCGCTGTGTCTGGTACTCAGCGCCACACAACCAACGGCACTAGTCCTGCAAGAGATGTTGTCGGTACTGTGAGTTGAACCCGAATCCCCGTACGTGGATTATCTGCTTTCTTGCCGCATACAAAGTCCAGAGAGCTAATACATTTCTAGCAGTTGGCGGCCATGCAAGAGACGTTAAGCCAGCTCGCTGAACTCAACAACGATGCGATTGCAGAAAGCACCAGGACAGCTCAACTGCTTATTACAGAGCAGGAAAAGCTGCACACTGGCCCAGACGAGCTTCCCCACCCCACCCACTTCCTGATGGACTTGATGGACTAAAGGTCTGGGAGCCGAGACATGATTGCGATCAACTGCACGAGGGATACGACACGGAATGCGTCTCTACACCACTATAAACTATTTATAATACTTTCCCATTACCCATGGCTCATATGCCGTTTAGTCTTTTGTTCTTTTGCCATATGGCTCTTATCATACCCAATACACTTGCGTCACGTTGTTTGACAAGTTTTAATGCATTGTTGTATCCAAACAATGATCGATTCTATAACTGTGTGCGATGTCTTTGTTGTTGGAAGCTCATATACTAAACAGTAGTCTGTGGTGAACAAGTAGCCCCATCCTCTTTGCCACTCATGTTTTTACATTGCTGGATATCCACCTAAATTAGATGGGTCACGCGATTGATGCACCCCTCTTTTGTCTCTTGTTCAAGACTTGTTATTCATCCGAACAAAGGCCGCGTGGCAATAGACTATACGCCAGACCCTCCCCCCTTTTTTCCTTAGGTGTTGAAGCAGGAGAGCACACAACCAAACCACTCAATCTTCATCACAAACTCATACGCACAAAGATCCCAAATGGGTGAAAAACACAGTCCTTTCTATACACACTGTGCTAAATAATATACAAAAAAGGCGCAGCTAAATGCTAATAAAATGAAAAGATAATGCATATGTACATGAATGCTCTGTTGTACTTTGTCGGTCCCCTGATCTCTTCACTCTCTTCTTCCTCACACCGATTTTTTTTTTCTTTAACCAGAAAGACACTGCGAGTAATAATCATTCTGCTTGACGCACTTCCAGCCGTCAGAGCAGGCAGTAGGACCCGTGTGTCCGATGCCACCGCAGCGCTCCCACTTTCCTGCTGTACCACCACCAGGGGCGCCAGCAGCTGGGCTGGAGGGCTTAGGAGCTTCGGCGGGTTTGGAGGGCTTAGGGGCCCCAGCAGGCTTGGATGGGGTAGCTGGGTTTGAAGGCTTGGAAGGCGCGGTGGGGATGGGCGTGGCGGACTCGACGGGGGAGGGTGTTGCGGCGGGTGCTGAAGCAACCGGGGCTGAAGCAACGGGGGCGCTGGGGGTGGCGGATGGAGTGGCTTCTGGGAGTTCAACCGGCGCAGAGGTAGGGAGAGCAGATGGGACGACGGGCGAAGCTGGTGTCTCAGGTACGGGAGTGGTGCTGTTGCCGGAGCCTGGGGTCACGGGGGTGCTGGGGGTGGTGCCGCTGAGCTTCATGATGCGGGCGGCCGCGGCCTCGGCGGCGACCATGATGATAGCTTGGGTGTTTCCGGTGGGGAGATCGGGGTGAATGGAAGCATCGACGACGAAGAGGTTGTCGGTTCCGTAGACCTTTGTGTTGGTGTCGACGACGACACCGGGCTCGCCCTTGGTGCCGATCTTAGCGGTGCCGACGTAGTGGCTTCCTGACTTGAATGACTTGATGAGGTCGGCGCTGGTGACGTTGGTGACGCCGGCAGGGGCGATGAGGGACAAGGTGGAGTTGGAGCTCTTGGACATGTTGATGAGACGGTCCATCATGAGGGTGATGGCTTCGGTGTCGACCTTGGAGGTCATGTGGGGCTTGGTGATAAAGGTGGTTGCGCCAGCGGCGTTGATACCGAGGCTACCGACAGACTTCAGGCCGTGGGTGATGTAGACCTTCATCTGGACAGTGTTGTCTTCGGGCGAGTTGCAAGTACCTTGGAAGAAGACTTCACTGCCATCGGATGTCTTGACGGAGGACCACCAGTTGAGGCGCTGACCAGACTCGGCAAGCATACCGGAGCCCTTGGCGAAGAGGTCAATGGTGGTCTGGTTGGGAGAGATGAGGGCCTTCTTGTCAGTGGCAACAAGAGGAGAGCTGGTCTTGAACTTGACGGTGAAGATTGGGTGGTCCTTGATCTCTGCTCCGACAGGGAGGTCAATCCAGTCAGCTTCGGCAGGGAGCTTGACGCCGGTGGTGCCGGTAGCAACAGTCTTGAGTTGTGCAGCGGGGCCAATGCCAGAGTTGAAAAGGATGCGAGGAGTCGACATGGCTCCGGCTGAAAGGACGACACGGCCGCCAGCCTTGACGTTGTAGATGACGCGCTTGCCATCGGCAGTCTGGACCTCGACACCAGAAACAGCAGAGCCCTCGCGGACAGCTCGGATAACGTTGGTGTTCATGATGAGCTTGAAGTTATCGAGCTTCTTGGCAAGAGGGAGGTAAGTTCGGACACTACCGGAGCGCATACCATTGGCAATGTTCCAAGTTGGGTGGCCAAAGACATCAACCTTGTTGTTGGGGTTCTTGATGAAGTCGGTCTGCTTCCATCCCTGGCTAGCAAAGAACTTGGACAGAACAGTGAAGGCACCGTCATCGTAGCGGACACCATCCTGGGAGCCGTAGGTCTGTCCAGGGTTGCGCTCGTACAGACGTTCAGCAGCAGCGGAGACATCGGCCCACTTCCAGCCAGTAGGCCACTTGTCGTCGAAGTCGCGCTCCTGGGGCTTGACGTACATCATGGCGTTGACAGCAGTGCCACCACCAAGGAGACATCCTGCCATGTCGGCAGTGTCGGTGCAGTAAGCAGGGCTACCGACATCGCTGAGGTAGTATCCGTATGCGGGCACATCATACATGGAGACAGAGCTGTTCCAAGAAAGCGTCTTGACATCGCCAGTAAAGGCATATGAAGGACCACCGCGCTCGATCAAGAGGACCGAAGCGCCGCTCTCTGCAAACCTCTGAGCGGCGATAATTCCAGCTGCACCACCTCCTGCAACGATGTAGTCGAATGTCTCATTTGCGACAACAGCAGTAGAGTTGCCGGAGATTGGGGTTGAAGGTAGTGGTGCAGGCGCAGTCGAGTTACCTCCAGGGGCAGGGGCCGTGGAGTTGCCGCCGCTTGGAGCACCTCCACTTGGAGCATCTCCGACAGCAAGGGCAGCCCATTTGGCGAAGTCGGCGCTCTTTGCATCGGACATCTTCAGACCAAAAGCGCCAAAGCCAGCGTCGTGGTAGTTGAGGCCAGCAGAAGCCGAGGTCGAATCGGTCAAGGCCTTGTCTGACCAGGCCCAGCCCATGACGTTGAGGGTCTCGGAGATGACAAGACCGAGAGAGGAGTCGTCACTCAGGCAATTGGAGCACAGGAAAGTGTATGAGAAGGCCTTGTCGGTGACAAATGTGCCATCGGGAATCGTCTTCATGGAGAAGTTACCAGTGACGACAGGCGGGCTGGTGTAACCATCGATTTGACGGAAAGACGAGAGGACCTTGCCCTCGTTGGGCCAAGCAACAACGAGGACGTTGCTTGTCATGGACTGACCCATGCTGAGACCAGCCCATCCGCCTCCATTGGTGATGGGTGCTTGGATCTGAGCAATGAAGTCGGTTGTTGGAGTCTCGGGGATAGCATAACCGAGTCTGTATCCAGTATCGCCAACGATACCTTGGAACTTGATGCCAGTCTTCTCATCCGTGAAGGCTGTAGAGGTCTGAGCCACAGCGCGTAGCGCGAAGAGGGCAGAGGTAAGAAAGAAGGAACGAGCCATTTTGGCAGTTGTGAGTGGGATATGAAAGAGAGTGTGAGTTTGTGTGGCTCTGCCGACAAGAAAGTGTGAAGCCGTCAAGGCTGTGTACAATGAGTGGAAAGCAACGTTCAAAGGAACGAGCAAAAAAAGGAAGAGCGAAAGAATGGTAAAGCGAGACTGCGCGTATACCGAACATGGATGTCGCGGTGTGCTTCTCTATATATGTAGGCCCGTATGCAATGCGGGCCAAGTCATGCTCAATCTGCCATATCCACGAGAGAAAACCACCTCCGACATAAGCCCCACCAAACAAGCCCGGAATGCAGCCTTACGCTCATGCAAAACAGTATTCTGGACTTTCGTGGTCCAGGATCATGGCTCACGGGCGGCGCTAGGGGTGCCATGATGGTTCCTGGCGCTTCCGCCATTGCGGGAGGTTAATTGCACAGCATACAAATGCAACCAGGGCCAGTGCACGATACAGCAATTACAGCAATGCCATTTGCTGGCTTGCTTGTTTCAACGCCCGTCCGGCATTTTTCTGACGTCGTCGGGGTGGAGTCTAGCTGTTTCGAAACGAGGTGCCGAGACACAGGCCAAGTCTGCTGGAAATTGCCTGTGGGCCGCCGCGAAAAAACACCATCTCGTACAGATTGCATGTGTTCGAGCATGCGCCCGCTTCATTGTTTGACTTGGTCGTTGCGAGAACCGGGCTGGATTGCAATCGACATTGCCAGAGTAGCCGAGAGGATATGAATAGTGAATATGAACGGAGCTCAGATGGAACGCGATCAAATCGTCATGATGCTGTTGTCCTCGCTCAACGGACAATCTCAGGGCTCTTCTTCGGAACGCAAACTCTGCCGAGACTAGAGATAGTCTAGACGGAAGATTCCATCGGAAAGGAGAAACGATTGGGAGCTGTTGGCGGAAGTGGGTGGTCGGGGTGTTGGTGATGGCCTGGATGAAGGGGTGATATCCGACGCCGTTTCACTCATGAACCTATCGCATAATCAGCCAGCCAGCTATTGATAGCTTCCCTGACTTGCATGGAGGATTGCTACCGAAAAAGATTAATATAATAAGTGGGAAGTTGTCTCAGGGTTGGGCTTATCGGGTTTCCATCGATGAAAAAACGATATCCTTCACGTCCATGATGGAGGGAACATGAGTCTGGATACATTGAGAGATGGGACCAGGGAGATTATGTACATATTGGGTAATGTCCTTTTTCTGGGGCATGTGGGGTCCACTAAACGCACGTCAGGGCGCCTTCGCAGGCATTGCCACATGGCCGCCATGCACATCACGTCTGTCAACCTGTCAACGAGGCTGCACCGGTATTCCGATGGCATAGCGACCGACGTCGAGTAGGCCGACTAATAAGATGACGGCGGATAAGAATATGCGGGGTAGAGTAGTAGGTGCATGAGGGGTGGCCTAGCACATCCTCGGCTCATGGTAGCGTATTTGGAGGTAAACTATCCCAGTACTACGCGCAACCTCTAGCATATCTGCCATCTTCATCCTGCACTTTTGAAAAGCATCATCAGTATCCTAGGATAGCTCAAGATGGCACCCAAGAATGAAACACCAGTCTACGTGCTGGGCGTGGGCCTTACCAAGTTCATCAAGCCCCGACAGACCCGAGCTTACCCGGAGATGGGCTACGAAGCTGGCGTCAAGGCCATGCTGGATGCGCAAATCAACTACGATGATGTCGAAACTGGAGTTGCCTGCTACTGCTATGGCGACACGACGAGTGGCCAGAGAATCTTCTACCAATTCGGTATGACCGGGTCAGATACTACAAGCATTCCCCTGGTATTAGCGCGATTGGAGTAACTGACTCGCAGTATAGCATCCCAATCTACAACACAAACAATGCATGTGCCACAGGCTCTACTGGCCTGCATCTTGCGCGTAGTCTGATCAAAAACGGGGCCATCGACTGCGCCCTCGTGATCGGATTCGAGCAGATGCAGCCAGGCTCCATCAAGTCCGTCTACAGCGATCGGCCCTCCCCGATGGGCCTGTCGATGCGCATGATGGCCGACACACGTGGGATCACAAACTCCCCACCCAATGCCCAGTACTTTGCCAACGCCGGCCTTGAGTACATGGAAAAATATGGCGCTGAAGCACGCGACTTTGCAGAAATAGCACGAATCAGCCATGAGCACAGCTCTCGAAACCCCTACGCCCAGTTCAGAGACGTCTACACGCTCGAGCAGATTGAAAAGTCGCCTATGATCCACTTCCCCTTAACGAAGCTGCAGTGTAGTCCTACCAGCGACGGCGCAGGCGCCGCTGTGCTCGTGAGCCAGAAATTTCTAGATGCCCGGCCGCATCTTAAGAGCCAGGCGATTCTCATTGCAGGCCAGGCACTCATGACGGACTCGCCGCAGCTGTACTCCAAATCCTCAATGGACCTCGTCGGCTACGACATGACGAAGCGCGCAGCGCAAGCCGCGCTGAAGGAGGCCGGTGTGAGTCCCAAGGACGTCAAAGTCGCCGAGCTCCACGACTGCTTCTCGGCCAACGAGCTCATTCTGCTTGAGGGTCTGGGGTTCAGTGAGCCGGGGAAGGCGCATATGATGGTGCGCAATGGCGACATTACGTATGGCGGTAAAGGTCCCATTATCAATCCCTCGGGAGGCCTCATCAGCAAGGGACATCCGCTTGGTGCAACGGGTCTCGCACAATGCGCAGAGCTGACATGGCAGCTGCGTGGCTGGGCTAACAACAGGCTTGCAGAGGGTGCAGATGTTGCGTTGCAGCACAATCTGGGTTTGGGTGGCGCCGTCGTTATTAATGTGTACAAGCGTGCTGATGAGAGCAAGAATGTCAAGATGAGCGACGAGGACGTTAAGCGTGTCAGTCAGTTTGCGTATAACCCGGCGGTAGAGGCGCGCTATGTTACCAAGGAGGAAGGCGACAAGGTGAGGAGCAAAGCTGCAGCTTCGGAATACGCGCTCGGTGATACACTGGAAAAGATTAAGAGTCGATTATGAGTTGGACCTGGATCTACACAATTATAGTGACTCGTGCATCTTTTCAAAGCATTTGTAATTAAAAAAAATAGTCTTATTTTGCAGGAATTGAATCCCAGACATCTGAATCTAAAATGAATTACAACATGGGAGAATCAATTCAAACAACACTCCCGCTAGAAAACAAGACTATCATCTACATTCATGATGGGTCTTCATAAAGGTCCCTGTTAAGGTCTTCTGAAAAGTCTTCTGAAGGGTCTTCTGCTTGCTCCAAAAACCGAGGATCGATGGTTTGAGGCCATTGTATATCCGTATAATTTGGATCATCCAACTCTGGGCACTCTTCAGAAAATGCTGTGTGCTGTGGCAACATCCCTTGCGTTGTGACCAAGTCTGAAATTTCAGTACTTTCTGACAGTCGACGATAATGGTGTGGCGAAGTGAGGGGACTGAGAAGCGAGCCTTCTATCGGATCATAAGCCGAAGATGAATTCGTTTGTGATGGGAAAGGCGTATGAGACGAGGGAGTGCCTAACCCAACACGACTTGATTGTCTACTCAAAAGAGGCGCACAGTAATTGATGCTGGGAGGTCTTGTCGGCTCATACTGTGTCGACCGGTGCTGTCCAGGCCAGTCATGTGGCAAGGTAGTGTTACTGGAGCCGAGAAAGTATTCACGAGGTTGAACAGGGGTGGAAACAAAGCTCTCTGGTACCGGTGTACTGTAGTCTTGGGGCGGTTCATGCAGATAATTGTCATTCGCCATGTCCACGACTGTCGCAGCTTCGTTGGCGATAGTTTGAATACGCCCCAGCTCACCATACAAGGCTATCTCCGCCAAGGCCCCAAAACGTTGCGCAGTATCGTGGAAAATTTGACTGAGGGGATAGCTCGCGCCATGATACAATGGTGGGCTCCCGCTGGGTTGGTGATTGTTGGTGAAACCTAGCGTGGTGCCGGTGGCAAGAACGCCGTCGGGATGATCGGTTATTACTGTATTGAGTAGGTTCAATAGGCCGATTGCGAACTGTGAGGCGGCGCGATGCGATTCATCTGGAATGGGATCTGTGGGAGGCAATCTGCCGTGGTCTGCTTCCCTCCCTGTGTATGCTTGCTGGTCTAAAAAAGCAGCCGATGTATCGCGTAACAAGGCTTGACATTCTTCCCATATTCTATGAGGCAACCAGTCATCCTCATCACAATCTGTCAAGCAGCCATCAGCAAAAGGATATCATCGTTGAAAATGGTAGACTTACAGGGGCTGGGAATCCTGGTAGCTCCAGGATAGCGTAACATGTACAGTCGCGCCCATTCTCTGACAATATCTCGACGCTGAGGACTGGATCTACATCTATTCGGATTGACGTGTAGATTGTAAAGAGATTTGTCGTCGAAATTCTGCTTGCATATGGAACACTGCCAAGCTCCTGGGCGGCCACGATGGTTAGTCCGGTTGAGATGGTGTCGAACTTGAGCCATGACTGTCTCATCACATCCACGGCAAGGTGGTGGCCCGAGATTGGGATACATGATATGATGCTTGTGATCGGGGCAGTCGACTTTTCTAGACAGTGTATCTTTTGTCCGGTTGCTTTTGGCAACTTTGAAAGTATCTTGCTCTCGACGACTGGATGTCGTCTTACCTTTGTCCCGATAGTGTAGGTTTGGCTTGGATGTATCAGTACCTCGAATATTGGACGCAGAACCTTCGTTCCTGGAACGACCAGGAGTTTCAATAGATACAGAAGGGTGACAGTGTAGCACAGCGTCGGTCATTCCTTGGTCGGCCGGATCGATCGAACCAGACTCGATAGCGCGAACAATGACGTTGATTTCTTCCAGGACTCTCATGTACACATGATATGAATCAGACCTGAGGACCGTTAGTATACAAAAGAACACATATTATTGGATCACATACTTTATATGTCTGAGGTACTGAACCATTCTCGTCAACAAGGTCAGGAACATATCACGAAGCCGGGCATACGTCTCATTGTCTAGTTGTGTATATATCCGACACAAGGCATCTCGGGTGGAACGAGGTACCTCATCTATGTCGATGGTGTAGTTGAAACGCGGTAGCGGTGCCGAAAACACATCCGCTTTCTTGTCCAGGCGAGACACAGCCCGGCGGCATGAGCCATTACCACTGGGATCGTGATGCAATTGTGGATGATGCTTACGCTCATGTTTGACACGAGCGTCTTGGCGCGCAAAGGTCCTAGAGCATCCATGAGCCGAACATATGAGCGGAGGCCTGGTTGCTTTGGAGTGTTTGTGTCTCGCATGGCGTGCAAGGTTTCCACGCCTGTACCGCCCTGTGAACTCAACGCCGCATTGACTACAACCCAAAGTATTCCCATCGATGACCGTGGATATAGATATGGTTGGGGCAACAGAGCTTGGAGAAGAAGTCGAAGATGAGTTTACTGGAGGGGGCAAAGATGGGCGTAGGGTCGGGGCTACTACATCGGTGTGGTAGTGCTGGCTGGGATATTCGTGGGTGGACATCGGCATGCAGTGCAAGTATGAAGGCGTGCACTCATCGACCTAGCTTTGGTGAGTATGATGCTAACCATGCTGCGGTCTTGACTTACCTCAGTGACGTAGGATGACTCCGACGCTGAATGTCTGGCGGTAGGACTGATAACTTCTCCATAGAGATGGGAATCATGAATGGCCGATGGATAGAGCGCACCCTCTTCTGGGGGAAGCGGGAGGACAGTTGCACTATCGTATCGCTGGTCGTAAATGGTGCGTGTGCGCCTGGACATCGTGTAGGATAGCAATAATGTCTACTGGTACTGATAATATGAGGGAAGTCTATGTGAAAAGGAGGGAGGTGGATACAAAGCAGACGAGGGGGGGGGAGTCCCTATCCTTTAAGCGTCTTCATGAGCGTGGGATAACGGGTGAGAGAAATCAGCCAGGGCACGAAGAAAATAGAGGGCGTAAGCTAGTAGGGTATAAATACTAGAAGCGTGTGATGCAGGGGCACGCCAGGGCACGCAAAGGTGTGCAGGTGGAGAGGTGGCCGTGACGACATAGAGGCCGGCAACTGTGCAAGTGTGCGTACGGTGGACATGAAGAATCAACAACCACGATGGAACACGGAAATTGGATCCTGCAAGCGGAGCCGGGGGAGATCTACGCGAAATGCAGAGCCGAAGGCGGAAGAGAGATGGGTGGGTAAGGGGGGGGGCGGCGGGAGGAGTCTAAGAGCAACGTGGCCCTGCTCCAGTATCGAAGCAGCTGCTTCAGCCATGGGCTTGCAACTAAGTGTGCTGATAAGTGTGCGGGGCACTAGGCCTTCTTGAAATGGCGTGGTGTTGATGCGTAAACTACGCTGCGCATGCAAGGCAGCCCCCAAGGCAGCATGCCAGGCACGACTGCGTCTTTGGCCCCGGCTAATATGGCATGTTGAAACACGACGTCGATAGCAGTGTTAGGAAGCAGATGGTAGGCACCAGGCCCATATACTGGATCCTTCCGACTGTCGTAAACCAAGTGGGTTGACATGACCGGAAGCAGCAGCGCTATCAGGCCGGGCAGGCCAGGCCGAGGGTGGATGACCCAGTACTGAAAGTTTCAGTTGTAATGGATAATGACAACGGTGTGTACAAAAAATGTTAAATGGTGTCATACTGATCGGCAGGCGTTGGACTCGCTTGGGCGTTGCAGCGCATGCAGTCAGAGCCGGCCTGTTGGAGAGATAAGCGAGAGAGGGAGAGGAATCGAGATTGGAAGAGGGAGGGAGGGGGGATCAGAGACTTGGTGGGACACAGCATTGAATTGTGGTCTCGGGGAAGGTGGGCTGGCGGGGCACTTCGGCAGCCTCCGCGCTGGAGGAGATAGTGGTGGCTGTTTGGCCGCAATAGGTGAGAGAGGGGCGGGGAGCGTGGGCGGTACTATGTGGTACAGGTGGTAGTGTACTCTATTCAGAATGGTTGCATGTAGCCGATGCCACTCAACTGCACATTTACGGGCGGTTACAGCTTACCCCGGTCGTCGTTATGGCCTGTTAGGGTGAAGTGCCACTTGATTCCGCACATCTCAGCGCAGCCCTCGCTCCAGACGCCTGCTGTCCGAGCTCTTTCGAGTATCGCGTCGTAATTATCCATGCCCTCGACGCCCACAGCGATGGATACAAGGCCTTCGGGAAGCCCGTCCTGGCCCGAAATGAAGGCCAGGCGGGTGTTGGTAAAAGCCAGCGTTTCGCCACTTCGTGACACGCCGAATATCTCTTCCCACTGTCGCGCCGCGCCCTCAGGGTCGACGTCACCAGGCTCGAGCCGCAGTACACAGCCCTCTAGCGCCAAGTGGCCCGTCTGTTCCATGCCGCGCATGTAACTCTCACTGGCCGGTCCACAGGCATGCCATGGGGAGAAGCGGGTTCCTAGGGGGTTTGGATTCGCTGGCCCTGTTGTGTGCGAGTCGACCTCAGGCATCAAGCCGCCTAGTAGCAACCCCTCATCAGCCACCACCACGACCACCTGCGCCTCCTCACTGACTGCGCCTGCGCCCACGCACGCAGCCAAACTGGCCATGGGACGAACGTACCTTTGATTCCCTTTGGGTGGTACTGGATGCACACCGCATCCCTGTACTCATGCTCGACAATGACGCTAGCCAACTTGTTCGCAGTGATGTGCTCGCGCCGCTTCTTTGCATCCTCGGTCTGCATGATAATCATGAACCCGCCATCCCCGCGCTTGTCGAGCAGCCTGCCAACCGTCGTACGCTCCTTGGTCGGCGAGACAACCTTGATAAAGTCGCCGCCTAGCGGAACTGCAGTCGCGTCAATCACGAGCCTCAGGAAACGCGCAGGGGCTACGTGCCCATGAAATTCTTCAATCCCCATTGCTCCACCGAATCGTCCTCGAATGCGAAGCCTATGCCCAGGACATATGTCTGAAATCTCCATCAGCTTCCAATTGGTACTTTTGCTGTCGTTGTCGTACAAGCAGCTGCCTGGCGTTGTCGAGATCCTTTGCAGCTAGTGCAATCTGCCGGAGGCGTGTTGGTGCAGGCCCCAACTTGGCATGGCTTGTGCCTTTCTCTTCAGCAGACATGTCGAGTGGCGCGTTACTCAGATGGAGTGTTGCAAGTATGGCGAGAGGTTTGCTTGTGTTATTTGTAGACGCGTATTTATTTGGTCTCCTCGGCCCAGCATCGCTTTTCCCCGCATCGATTCCGGCGCTTCCTTGTCGCTTTGCGGCCTGCACCCTTGCGTAGTGTCGTTTGTTAGTGAACAAGAATCAAGCTACTCTCCAAACCGATTTGCCGCTGCATCAGCTAGTGTAAGAGTAAAATGGCATTGTGGATGTTGTACTGCGATGCAGCTCACAGGGGACTGTTGTTGGGAGCTCGGGCCGATGACACTCCACAACAGCAAACCGCTCCTTCCCTCTTGTATGCAATTGCGAAGAATGACTATGGCACCCATGTTCTTACATGACCAAAGCCCTGCATGACTAAGCCATTCGGTTATATAAAGTGTTAGAAGTGGCGTTACGTCCAGAAGGCACTCAATCCTGTTTTGTAGACGCTCTTCTGACTTTCAGTCGAAGTTTTGGCTGGCGTTGGTCATCTCTCAACCAAAAAAAGTATTTTTGGGGTCTTTCCAGAAACACGTTTCTCCAGGTGGGCAAATTATGTGAAAAAGGCAAAGGTAAAGCCTGGGTAGCAGAAGTTTTCAGAAGAGAGTATGCGTGCATGATCTATCCTAACCAGCTACAGCAATAACTCTCGGTTGAAGACTATAAAAGGATGGGTTTAACAGGCTAGGGCCTTCTGCTTCCCTACCCTCGTCTACAAGCTTGGTATTTCCATCTTGGCTGTCCTAGTCGTCAGCCGTCCAATAGGCCTCGTCACTCCTCTGATCCAAGATACATCGATATCTATGTAGCGTAGGAGCTTAGTTTTCCATCGGATGTTATCTTGTTACCTGATATTGCATAACATAGCCCCTTACACGTATCATATCTGCTATGTTTCATTCAACCCCCCAATAGTTTTATGTAAACTTTGGATTTTTAGAGCAGCGAAGTCAATCAGATAAGTCAGTTTTGCTAAGCCTCCATGTTTCTTTATACTGTAGCTATCGAGTTTCTTTTGCGCGTGTTGAATTTTAGACACCGTATGAAGACTCAAGTCACCCAATATACATCATCGCACGTGCATTTCACAAGACAAAAAGGCAATACCTCAATTCTCACCGGTTTGATGTCGCAAGCAGGGAAAATCTTTGCTGGCCACTAACAGCTGCATGTAGCGGGGCAATGGGGCGCAGCCCTAGACTGCAATTACACCAACAACAGCGTGCATGGTTTTAGGGGCTGAAACAGCGCATACAGCCGAGGAAAAAGGTGGGCTACGGTTTTTTGTGCTTTAGCGAATCCAAGGCTTGGTTAGAAAGGAGGTGGTATAAGTATGTGCCCCATTCAGTTAGGGGGTATTACAATACAGACTCGTGTCAGTCCTTTGCAGAATTGAAGACATAGCTATCTAAGTAAGTATTACGCTAACTAGGTGAAACATGATAAGAATTATATAACCAACAAGACTACTGAACATGTTTAGAGCACGTAAACCGAACAAAAATTGAGGGCTATCCATTCCTTGAAGTCCGACTATCCCATTACCCGCTCAACGCAATGACCGGTGTAGGCGAAGCATCTGCCATAATCGGCATCGTCTCAGCCGTCATCACATTTATTGACGCCGCCAAAAAGGTCTACGATGCAGCTGAAAATGCAGGAGATCTACCCGCCGCCTTTCGCGAAGTCGCCCAGCGTCTCCCTCTCATTCAGGATACCTTGAAAATCATAGAGGCACAACTTGAAAAAGACAAGCTCGATAAAGCTACATATGAAGCAATAAAGAGCACCAGCGAACGAGCCAAGACCAAAGCCGAGCAACTGAAGGTGATCTTTGAAAAATGCATTCCAGTGGAAGGCGCATCGAGATACGCGCGATATGTTGCTGCGCTGCGAACCTTGGGGAAAGAGCATAAAGTTGAAGTGTTGATGAAAGATTTGCTGGGGGCTGTGCAGGACATCGCGAACGGTCAGACAATGAGGACTGCCACGCGGGAGCAAATCATCAAGCTTTCTGAAGCACTGGATGCGGTTTTGGCAGTAGAGCCGTCGGTACCAGACGAGTTCATCGAAGGGGCGTCAGCTGCGAGCCGCAATGTTCATATGGGCCAAGGCGATATGTATTCAGCAGACGGACAAGCAGAACAATTCAACGCCAAAGATAACGCGAGACAATATAAAGCAGAGACGATGAATTTTGGAAAGGATTAAACTTGTAGTCAGTATGGTTTTCGTTGCGTAGAGACTGGAGGAATGGACCAATGTCGGTTACCGGAAGCCCGCATCTCTCGCGAGTTGGTCTTCTGTGAACCCCTCTTTGACATTCTGTATGTATGTATCAAACTTGTTCGCGATTCCGATGACATGTTGCAAATGCGCATAGCAGAGCTTCTTGCCGCGATACTGTGCCAACTGACGTGCAGTCGTGATGACGTTGCGAATCTGTCGCCCGTTCATCTCCCGCGTGACCAAATCATCGATATGATCGTGTATGTCATCAAACTCGACATTGTTATCACCCAGAGTCTTGAGCCGTTGGATGAAGTTCCGCCAAATTTTGCGACGCTGCGCGGTGTTGAGCTTGTCGTAATGTAGAGTCAACTGGATTCGTGATTTGAAAGCTTCGTCGAAAGTGCCCACCCGATTGGAAGTGAGTACCAGAATGCCCTGATAGTACTCCAGAACGCGTAGGAACACTGATACCAAGGCATTTCGTACTAAATCGGATTGTCCTCGCTCTTCTAAGAAAACATCGGCTTCATCCAACAGGACTACACAGTCCCATGTAAGACCCAGATGAAGGACGGACTCGAGGTAAGTCTCGACTTGCTCTGGGTTTGTTCCAATATCACCACATGTGACACGGTACAGAGGTTTCTTTGAAAAATCCGCCATACTCTTTGCTGTAAACGTTTTTCCTGTGCCCGGGCCGCCGTGTAACAAGATGATAAGGCCATTGCCTTTGTCGGCGATAATATCCGTGCCTTTGGATGATACGATTTGGTTCGTAACTACGGCTTCAAGTAGCTCTTTGGCATCATCGTCGATTGCTAGACTTTCAAACGCTTGTGTATTCCAAACTACGTCTCGAATATGGTCCACTTGGAGATCAACTTTAACTCGGCGTTAGCTTCCGGACCTACCGAACAGGGGAAAAAGGTTAACTCACTCCAACGCTTACGTCTGAGATCATACGACACGACCGATCTCGGGAATACGAGCAGCTCCAAGGTATCCGGGAATTTTTCTAGTTTTAGTGTCGATTCGAGCATATCACCCCGCTTCGTTGCGCGAAAACGCGATGTCAAGGCTATGTCTTCTGCATCGTTTTCGGGGTTCTGTGGACCTTCAAATTGACTTTTCTCACGCTTTTTCTTCCTATATTGAAAGTAGGTAGCCACATCAACCATATATCTGTCTCTTTCCTGTGTCTCGATGAATAAGCGTTCAGGAATCAGAGAATGAAACTTACCACACTCATCTCGTCTTCATAATGATCAACACATGAAACTAAATATCTTTCTCGACATTTCCAAAATATCTCGCCCCTTTTCTTGAGTCGAGCTTTCAGACCTGTGTCGTCGTATTTGAGGGGGAAAACCTCCAAAGAAGTGATGGGGATCATGTTCCTCTCTGTGGGAGCAGTAATTTTGAGATCAAGAACCTTCGCTGCCTTTTTAAACTCGCCATCAAATGACCAAGACCATGATTCGATGGTCCATAGATAATCTTCTTTAGGAGCCTTCTCTGCAGGAGCCTCCGATGTCTCCGTGCATTGTTCGTTCAGTTGAAGCCCATGAGTTAAGAGTTTTGCCCGGCCTTGTAGCGTGTCTTTGCGTGACTTTGTCTCGAGATAATTTGGCATCTTTTTTGTGATAGATGCATCAATTCTTTTGGCTCTATGTGGCGTTAGTTCGAGGAATTTCGGCCAGGTTTTTGCGATATAGGCATCGATGTTCTCGTCTTTGCGCGAGACCAGGACGTCGCCAGGACGAATCAGGTACTTTACTGATATCGGACATACCATACCCTTCTCAAACTCAGAATTCACATAGTCCCACTCTTCCCCGTATGAGCCCTCAACCCAATCCTGGAAAAGTTTAACCATCCCCCTTTCCTCCGTAGACAATGATCCCAGTGCTTCTTCCATATTAGTTCGAAAGAAAAACCAGAACAGATATGGCTCATGAATTTCCTTGGTTGGATCAAACTCGGGAAACGACTCCTTGAAACCTGAAATAGCACTCAAGAACTTTTCCATAGCAGAAACCATTCGCGGCGAGGTCAGCATCACCGCTTCTTTCGAGGGTTGTGGCTGTGGCAAAAAATCGTCTTCAGCTAATTCAGTGGCCGCCGAAAGTTTTGTACCTTCGTCATAATCTTTGAAAGGGACGAAGACAATATCATCGTGGCGCTTGAGATAGGTCTTCAGGTTCGAAATTGGTGTGTCACCCTTAAGTTCGAAATGACCATCCTGGGCGTCTAGCCAGGACGGTTCTCAGATATGGATCCTATTGTCGATGCGATAAAGAGTCTGCCACCTGGATGCGATTTTAACACGAGCTTTCTGGTTATACTCATTCTTATCTTTCTCTTTTATTCGCCGGTTCATTCGACTGACCTGGGCGCTGAGTTCTTCTACTCGCCGCATCAAAGCCGCCGTGGTCCAAGAAGCATCGCAAGCTTGTGATCCAGTTGTTGTGTCAACGTCTATTTTCCAGGGTCCTGAAGTGTCCGACATATTGGAGGCCATCTCGTCCTTCAAACCAGACTCTTTCTGTGAAGATACCGGCATGACAGTGTTCCAGCGGTCAGGCAACACCTGCACTGTGCTTCGATATCCTGTGTATTGAATCCTTTCTCTGCCGAATACTACACGGGAAAAGCGTTTATTTTCTTGATAATAAGATGAATATCTCTTCTCTCTTTCATTGGGTCGTCTACTGCTATCATACGATGGTTCCGGACCTCTCCTACGGGAACTAGACGCATAGTCTTTGACAACAAAGCCAGAATCCTGTTGAGAATCAGGAGGACTCGGGTAATCAATAATGGTATTGTAGATGCGCCGGTTTTTTTTAGACTTTAATACTATTAGTAAACAGAAAATATGCGCCTTCTAAGCTTACCCTGAGAGTAGTCGCCCTCGTGCTTGGCTCGAGGGCAGAGAGCTGTTGGTCCTGGAAATCACTGCCTTTGGTGCGATCATCAAATATAGTCTTTTGCGTGGGGATCCATTTGTCTGCGAAATCATCCAAGATGAGTTGCTTTCCAGTCCGCTCTTGCATGGGCCGCCTCACACCTCCCTTAACTGTATACGTAAGATCCGAAGCACTGCCTTGAGATGGAGATGAAGTGTACTGACTTAGAGCCTCACGAAAGGGTTTCAAAGTATGGTACTTAAGCGGCCATCTTAGTATTGATTTGTAAGTAAGCCTATGAGTTTGATTGGATATTGGATCGCTTCACCCGGTATTCATCTTACCAGATTTCAACATGACGCGAACAGCTATGCCAAAAAGAATATCCCACTGGGGGCCAAAATTGAGTGATGGATGCACATAGATGCAAGGATACTGATTACAGGAGTAATGTTGATTCGGCCAGCGTGCAGGAAGCTGAAACCCCGCATTGAAACCTGCAGCCTATGAGCTGAAGATCTTCACATAATTGGTCAGGAGGACTAGGCAAAATCTGCTGCATCATGTAATAAAGCAACCTGTTCCTTCGCATCGGCTAGAGCGTGCCGCCAAACCAGGCCAATGCCTAGCAAGGCAAAATGCCCTAGCCTGCATCGGCATAGGCACAAGCCATATTGTATATGAGGCTCCTTACGTTGGCTTAACAGCTACAAGTTTGGGTTCTCACGATCATGTCAGTGCATTATACAGCAACAAGCACCAGAGAATGTTCTGATGTCGGCCAAGGCGCAACATCCCATTATGGCGTTGGCGATCAGTTCGCCGTCAACGGAAATGCTGCTCAGTTTAATGCTGCTGGCCAAGCTGAACAATATGTCTTCAGTGGAGAAGGCAACAGCATGAATCTATTCATTGGTACGTTCACACCTTACTAACAGTTGTTTCTGAGGGCCGTGCAGCAGCCTTAGTTCGAATACCTTCCTTATGCTGCAATCTTTCGTATTGCCTAACACCGCTTACGTAGCCAAAAATCAATCGGCGTATATACATCACTAACGCCAAGTTTATAGGCTTGGAGGCATTCAAAAATGATAGCGCTCTCAACGGTTTACTGCAATTGGCCTTGAGTATGTTACAAGACGTATAAATTGGTATGGTAAAAGGGGCTAATCTACGCCTAAGACAGCCGAAATATCCAGGATAGCGGTTGTGTGGATTCCAACATGCCTTTGTCTCGAACCCAGGTGAATGAATTCCTGAAATCCTTGGAATCTCGTATGACGCTGGCCGTGCCAAAGTCATCGCAAGACTTAAAGTGGGGGCATCGAGAGCAAACAGTGACGAGATTAAATGCCTTTTGGCTCCAACCGAAGTTTCAAACGTGGTGCTCCGAACCTGAGAGCACTTTGCGCTTTGTTAAAGGCTCTTATCAAAACCGGTTACAGATCAAAAGTTTCTGCTTAGATTTCATCAAGCTCATGGAGGATGCGAGCGTCCCGCTCCTATGGGCGTTGAAACCGAACGCGTGTGAGCATACGAACGGGCTCTCTCCGGAATGTCTGTTGAGTTACTTGACAGTGCAAGCATTAAGTGTATACTTGAACCAGGAAACCACGTCAGGGATATCAGAGAAGCAAGCAGCTCAAATCCGTAAAAGATTTCAAAGTGCTTCAACCCTTATAGATTATATCGATCTCTTATGCTTCAGTATATCTGTATCTCGATTACTTGAGGTTTGTATCCTTGTCGATATACACTTGCTTGATGCCAGACAACAAGGATTCCGGGAGCATGTCGAGTTAATGAAGGCGCTATCAACCGCTCAGAGCCGCTTGCATAATGACGGCTGTAGGACAATGGTCAAAGTTCTCTTGGCGAGCTATGGAGGAATCATGTTCGACGAACATGAATCGTCAGATGTGATGAATAATGTTATCTTAGCGGGTAATAGTAGGCATGGGAAGGGCAAGCCGGTGCACCGACGCCGCGAGGTAGGCCGCTTAGTATCTTCTCACTTCGGCGGCCGTGGGAGAGTTTATCGCTCTTGATTAGCTCATAACTAAGTAGAATGTAACATATTCCACCAGCAACCTGCGCACTCCACCAAACCTGGCCCGACTCCCTGCGCAATAAACGCAATGCTGCGATAACAACGTTTTATGCAAACATTTTGTGAAACTAAACTAATATTTACCGTCGCACCACATTATGATAATAAAGAAAGATCCCTCTGCGCCCTTACAAAAGGCTATAGTGTAGTAAAATTGACTGTCCAGGTACGTCCTGGCGGTCTCTAGCCACAATTCAAGATGACATTTAATTGCTAAGCGTAAGGTATCGCCTACTAAAAAAGCATTCTCTTGTACAGTAGATCCTAAAGATTAAGCAACGTGGCTTTCCACCCCATATTATCAGCATGCGAAAAGCAGCAGACGCTCTACTCGCCATTTGTGGCCAAGATCTTTCACAACTAGTTAGTAAAAACTAGGTGTCACTTTTTGTCTAGAGCGAGTCTGAGCTTCGGACAAAGTAGACTAGGAGGTTGAGTAGTCCGCACGCCTAGTATGAGGATCTTCCTACTAAATCATGGTTTAAGTTAGACCAGTGGCCGATCCTACCTTACATCATACACTAGATAACTAGTTCTATACTCAGTAACTCCGGCTTGCTCCTTCTCCAACAAACAACTGACCACCACTTCATCGAGTACACCCTTCTGTGTACTAAGCATTTGTTCCCCTTACATTATAATCTCACTCAAAACGGAAGCCTAACTGTAGAAAGTCGAGACTTAAGATTAGTAAGCTTTGTAGCAAGCAATGTTAATAGTATTCAGCTACCTTATCCAGTCCATATGTAAACAGTCTACCGGCGAATTAGCAGCACACAGTTGACAAAATCCCCAGAACTTCAAACAGCCCATAATTTACAGCCGTAATCACTTCATGACTACAATTTCCAAATAATTTCAGATGCCAGAACAGTAATTAGAAGTACGGGGAAGACGACGCGTGAAAGATATTATAATTCCTGTAGTACTGAGAGAGTATTGCAAAGCTCGAACTTTATCAACTTTCTGTCGCGCGTTATCGATTTTGACAAGGCGGTAAGCCTATCACCCAGCGGACATCAATGCAAGACTATTCATGAGCCACTACTACCTAGGCAAGACCTAAACAAAATCGATGACAAGCTAGAACGTCAGCAGCTTCGTAGCTTTATAACACTACTATGATATTGTGGTTTTCTCTGTCTCTTACGCGCCTTGTATAAAGAACCACACACTTGGAGCCTCGCATTTTTTGTCCACCGGGTGCATGCGGGTCATATGGCATGGCTTCCTTCCCTCTCATCTTCCATCAGTCACTACCGAATACGCCAACTCCAGGATCCTCACCTTTTGGCGCCCGTCTTACTTATATATGATACCCTTACTTCAATATACAAGCACGCAACCAGGCCAGATTCTGCCCATCCCCACTCAGTATGTAGTTCGTCCGCGGATGCAGGTGCGCCCGAGTAGGCAGCTGAGCGTGTATGTACACTGAGTTCACTCACTCAAGCACCACCGCGCGCAACTGTACCTCCATTTCACTCGTGTAAACGCACCTGAACGCTCGACCCGTTTCACAAATCCCCGATCATCATTATCGCGCTTTTTGGGGAGCAAAAGCGCAATCACATGTCTCACACCATCACCAGGCTCCCACCACCTTCATCTCTACACCCGCACTACCAACCAGCAAACACCCAGCAAAACGCCATAAACCCCTTGCGCTATGCGCCAAGAGGGAACATACGCGCGCAAAGTAAAGGGCGCGCTGGACGCGTTGTCGCGTTTTGGTGTCGAGCTCCCCCGCGTTCATTGTCTTTGTTCGGCTCAGCTCAGCTTCACCACGAGAGGAAAGCTTGGATCTTTGTGGCGTCTGACGTACCTGAAATATACAAAAGTGTCTGTCACCTCGAGTTTGGAGCGCTTGGGCTAGGATTGCAAACGCGACTTTGACTTCACTTGCCTAGTCTTAGTCTTTTCTTGGTTTTATATAGAGAGGGGAGGCTGCTGTCCTCCCTTTGACTATTCCTTCGTTGTTCAATCTGCTGTTTGGAAGCGTACAAGTCTTGTTGGTTTTCTGATCTATACATCTTCAGGTTCGTACAATTGCTTTTGTTGGGCGTCTTGATGTCGTTTCGTCCTGTCACTCTTTTCTCCGTACCAATTGGGCGAGTTGGCGTTTATACTTAGCTCTCCAGTGTGTCAATTCAAGATGGGGAGCGTTATCGACGACCTGCTAGCCCTTGCGGCAGCCACACCACTCTCGGCCACCGAAAAAGAAGAATTCGAGATTCTAAACGACACCGCGCCTTATGTTCGTCCGAAAACCCGTTCGCAAACCCGCGCTGTCCGACCATCGTTGAAGATCAGACTCCCCGTCCCCGCGGCCCTTGTTGTCAAAAAGTGCCAGAACAAAAAGCGTAAACCCAACTTCACCATCTTCGCCGACGAAGACACAGAAAACCAAGTCGCATCAGCCATCTCCACGCCTAAAAAGTCGCGGACAAGTACTCCGCGTACCCCCCTGAGCGAGCGAACCGCCTCCACAAACTCCACTCCCGCACCGTCCCCCCGCTCCTCTTCAACCCCCTTCTCCTTGTCTCCCTTCGACCCCTACTGGGAGGACATCGAAAACTACCCTCCATACACTACCCCTGTGACTCCCCCCGTAATACCTCCTCCTGCAACAACCATCCCCGTCTCCCCTCCACCCTCTCGCTCCTCCTCAACCCGCACCCGCACCCGCAACCTAAACTCCCGCCCCCCTCCTCCTTCCACGCCATCCCGCCTCAACCCCCCAATAAACTCACTTCTCTACACCACTCTCGGCCTCTCCGACTGGCGCGCCACCCCCTCCACAATCAAGAAATCCTACCGCCGCATGGCGCGTACACTGCACCCGGACAAGGCGTCCTCGGAGGAAGACAAGGGGGCTGCGAATCTGGCGATGCAGCAGCTTAATGCTGCGAGGGATGTGTTGGTGGATACGGAGGCGAGGAGGGAGTATCATAGGACGGGGATTGTGCCTTGGATTGTTTGAGGTTGTAGTTGTGGGGGGAGGGGGGCGTGGGGCGGTGAGTCTAGTGTCGTTGTACCCATGGGAAAATGTGGGTTAGAAGGGCTGGTTACAGGTATACATGTGCGTTGTTGTGCGTGCATGGGTACACACTGTTCTTTTTTCTTTTCGAATTACTAGGAAAGGAAGATGAAGCTGCTGATGCTTGATTTTTATTTTCGAAGTCTTGTTTGGTTCGCTTGATGGTTTATGGTATGTGGACACTGGTAATGTTTGCTGTTTGTTTATTTGACAGACGACGAGCGTGGTGATCAGCAACGAGATATGATTCGTGGAAGTATTTTTGGACTAGGGAGAAATTAGCTTATGTTATTTTACTGTATTATGTCCTTTCTCTTTTTTTATGCCTTGGTCAAGGGGCAGCATTCACAAAGTCAGCAGGATGGCTTCTTTCCAAATTGAGAGAAGAGAGTGATGCTTGTTATTTTTTTGGCAGATGATTTTCGCTACATCGTTCTACGTTACATGGTTTTGCACGCATGTCGTCTTATAGACTTTCCGCCGTGTATGTATGTATGTACCATGCTTCGGCCCGATTTTCTACATGCGGTGTCCTCGTATTTGATCCTTGTTTCTGGCCATTTGGTATTTTCCTCCTTTTTTTTCGTCTTTTCCTTGTTTCTATGCATTATCCCTACATGCCCGTTGAATCCTTGATGAATCTTGAATGCTTTTCTGGTTTCTAAATTATTCATTTTTCCCTTTATGCTGCGCCATACAAATCCATGTCCTGTGTACCTGGGCGTCTTCGAGGTTACTTGGACAAATTGCCTGGTTCAATATCCCTCAGTCCTGATTCGTACATAGGAATCTGCGTTGCTAATGTATCCCCTGAAACTCGGTCCAACGCTCCAGTTGGTCAAATTCCGGATAACATCTCTTGCTGTGTCGCACAAGTCCACCCGGCCAGTCTCTTCATGTTTATGCAGTGCCTCTGCGGTGGTGAATGACCAGTCACACTGAATATTGAGGCTCATATCCATGAGCCACTCCATGCGTTCCTGCATTGCGGGAATTTGAACGGCGAGTTCGCGAAAGGCGGGCCAGACGACAAAATCGACGATATTGATATGTGGCATAAAAAGCTGATTCGGGGTCGGACGGAGCCATTCCGGCATGGCGTTATACGTCTCGGGAGAAGGTGAAATCACCCAGCGCATCAATGACCAAAAAAGGTACATGAACCCGAAGCATGTAAATGTGTTGCCTAGTCTGGTGAGCAAGTAGAATTTTGAGAGTTGTAAACGAGTTTGGGTGGTTACCTTTGAGAAACATGCTGTGCACCATACCAACCGCCCATTTGGAAAGAATGCCCGAGTTGTTGTATACTTCTTCGTCAAACAAAGCAGCAATATTTGGGTGCTTCTCGATAATCTCTTCGATCGGATGTCCATTATCTATCAATTTTGTTGCCTCGTGTAATACACTCGGTACAGTGCGTCGGAGTGAACCAGGGTCGGGCACTGTATTGATTGGAAGCATAGCCCATGTTGGCAGAAAGAGATTGCGAGTATGCGTATCCTGAGATTTGGAGTACTGGCTCGACTCGGCGCTAGTAGTGAAAGATGTGTTATCGAAGAAGCTGCGAATATCGAGATTGGGATGGATGCGGATAGTGTTTACAATTGGTTGTCGTCCAGTAAGGTGAGTGGAATAAATGGAGCGGACTCTGTTGTGTCTGTGTGGGGACAGTCTCTGGCTTTGGGAAGGCCTTTTTGACGAGGACGAGGGAATGGGACGGAGGTCAAAAGTTGAAGCCTGCTGAGTGAGTCGTGGGTCAATGTTTCTCTCTTCGAATTCATCATCGCCAGCGTCATCACTTTCGCCCTCGTCTTCGGCTTTGGGTAGCAGAAAGTCGTCTCGGTCAAACAGAGGGCACAAAAAGGACTGTTCTTCGCTGATGCTTGACTGCTTTCCTCTCCCTGGGGGCGCAAATGCAGAATGGGGAAGATTTGCAGAAGGTGACCAAGCAGGAGTTTGACCTGGAGGCGATGCCAAAGATGCGCTGGAGCCTTGACGAAACTTGGGAGTAGGTTTGCTTGGATCGAAAAGGGAGTCGTGGCTCATTGCACTTCCAGAGGTATCGGTGGACTCCTGGCCCAGTAAGCTGAACTCCGGTTACCATTGTGCCTTTGTTTTGTTTTTTTGCAGCTATAGAGGAAGCTGTAATATAGTGATGCATACCTGGGGGGTTGGGTGGATGCTGCTGGAGAGGGTACCAAGGAGAGAGACTTTGCAACGTCCTCGGGAGTGTCACCAAGTCGTAGTCTTGCTAGAATGGCTGCGGCTTGGTCGTCTGTACCTGAGCGGAGGAAGTTGACGATGCGTTTGAGATCTTCGAGCTCGCCGGTCATGCTGTCCCGCTTCATGATCTTCATGCGCTCAGCTCTGGAGACGCCCTCTGCGACATCGTATTGGCATATGAGATCGTTATCCTTGCAGCGGTTACATCGTGGCCTCGTGCCGTCGCACTGCGGATTACTGAATTAGCAGCCTTCGGGAGAGGATCAAAGGCAGCAGTCGGCCACCTACAGGTAGTGTCACAGCCAGTGATTACCCATAGAAGAGTAGTTGAAGGAACTACCAGTAGCACATGTGGCTGACAGGAGGGGCTTGGGTACTTTGCATTGCTGACAGGCATCAGCTGGCGCTGAAAGTCAAGGCAAAGTACCTCCGGGTCACCGAAGACTCATGACACTGGCTGGGTGTAACACGGTCCTACGTACCTTGGCCTTCCCGTTGCGGCAGTGCACACAAGCCACAGCAACGGCCTGCCTCCGCTTCCGACGGTCTGGCGGGGCGCGTCGCTGTCCGGGCTCGTCTGAGGCAGGAGCAATATTCTGCCATCGGTCTGAGAGGTCCATGGTGTGGGCGATGTGGTTGTGGTAGAAGTTGGTAGCTGGCAAAGGGTCCAAGGTTGATGGTGGTGGTAGTGGTGGAGCCTGTGGAGTTCTCGGCGATGAGCGACAAGCTCGCGCCAATGGAAGTGCTGATGGCAACGCCGCAGGCTCTCTGAAGTCAACGGGGCGGCTCTAGTAGTTTGTGGCATCGGAGTCGTTCTCGCCACGATTCGAGGGCAAGGAGAGCGCACACACACCCACGGTCGTCAGGCTGGCCGCAAAAATCCGCCTCTTGTGCTCCTGTGCAAATAAGACTTGCGACTTGAAGCGATTCCTCGGTTCAAATCGCCGACGAAAAACATGCTGCGGAGAGTGTTTCCTAGCCAATGAGGGGACGAGTGATCAGCTCACGTGCTTTGTCGGGGCGCATTTGGACACCCAAAGCGTAGACGGCCTGGGACGACAGGCGTGGGACACCTGTCAAGATGCAAGAGAAGCACGACATTTGCTCTGCTCTTGCTCTACTGTTACGCCTCAGCACGAGGGCTAGCTTCGGCGGCACACGTGTGGCCATGGCCGCGCGGATGGAGAGGCACCATGGCGACGGGTTCCGGGCTTCAGGGCATGCCATGGCATGCGGCGACCAACAGGGCCGACATGGGGGGGAGGGGGGGGCATGGAGTGCAAGTGCATCGCGGAAGCCGCTGCTCGCCAGGAGAACCTGGGTCGTTGGGCCGCCATGGACGTGTGGTGACGAATCGACGTGCAGCGTGTGGCGGTGCGTGAGGCTGAGGCAGGCGACGCAACACTACAGACCCAAATGGCTAGGGCAAGGCTAGGCGGCCAAGTTGGCTCCAGCCGTGGCGTGACGTCGTGCCGCCATCATTGCAAAGGACAACGGCATGCTAGTCTCGAGCAAGGCAGTGTTGATTGGCGGCTGTGCGGGCTTGTCAGTACTCGGGGAGCGGATTGGGCACTGTGCCTACCTGTGTGGATGGATAAGCAGCCATGCCAACTGCTGCTCGACGTGACCTGGCCCAGGGCATGAGAAGAAGAAAAAGAGGAGAAGAAGCGCACAGCAGAGGAAAATTCAAACACCGCAAGCACAGCTGCATGGCCGACGTGGTTCAAATACCAGCCAGCCACAGTTGACGTCATCAGCTGCAGCCGGTGGGTTGTGGCAATGGCACGCCACACTACCACCACCACCACCGCCGCCGCCGCCGCTGCTCATCACCACCACACCGTGGCCGTGGCAGCCCGGCGGGTGGCTGTCGATATGGCTTTTCCCCGTAGCTGCATGTCCTCTAGCTCCGGGTCGTCCCAGTGCCCAGGCTGTGGGTAAGCACGCCAGCATCCATCTGGTAGACACGCGCCTGTTTATATGCTCACGTCGGCGCCATGTATCCGCTGCAGTATGGAAGTGGCATGAGGACATTCTAGGCGCGTCACGTGCCTTCTGTTTCTGCTCCGTATCTCCTCGACCCACTCCGGCTTACTTGCCAATCTCTACGAGCACTCCCAGCACTCCCAGCACTCCCAGCACTCCCCTCCGACACTTCCGCTGACAGCTTCTGCGCATGCCTTGTTTACCCTAGCACTGTGTACAGCACGCTGATAGGACACAATGCTCAAAGAGAAAGACAAGGGGAGGGGGGCAAAGCAAGCAAGAGCGAAACATACGGCGTCATGGTATTTTCGAAACTCCACAAGAAACATCTCAATTCTTCTATGTGCAGTGTCGTGTAACATGGCATTTGGAGTACCCTATTCTAAAACTCCCCTTTCATGCCCGTTCCGGGGAAAAAAAGAAAACCTGTGCGCCACACCTCAACATATGTATGCGGGTCATGCGAGAGCATTCTAGACCCGCTGGTATCCAACTCCAGAGCAAATCCTCTCCTCACACAGAAACGACAAAAATCACAAATTGTTAGCCTGCACCTGCTGCGATGGGCGACGAGCAGACATCATCTCAATGTCCGAGTCGTCGTAAATGCTCTTGCCCCGAACAGACTTGCTCTTGTCGCCCGCGTTCACAAGAGCAGGGAAGCAGTATCCGGGATGGAAGACGGTCAGCGCTACCACTGCAGTGACAATCATGGCTCCCTCCAAGACGATAAAGTCCACCTCTTCGCGCATCAGCTCACTCCTCCATCCAAAAGCAAGCTCGGGGATACGGTAGACGCATCGAGCAAAAATGGTGATAAAGGCCAACACAATGGCAAAGAGGAAGAGGCGGAACGACTTCTGCTGTAGCAGGGTCCGGGCTTCGTCTGACAGCTCCTCGCGGTGCTTGTATGTGCGGATGGCATATTCAACGAGCAGGAAGCCAAAGACAGTCAGTGTGAAGACCTGCCAAACCACACCTGCAATCATGATGTTTGTGCCATTGTCCTGTGCCTCGCTGCCAAAATCGGCAGTCGCAGCAATGCCACCACCTGCGCCCTGCAGCACCAGCGACAGGAAATCTCCCGCAATGAAAATGTGTGTATACCGCGCCGGTCGGAGGCGCGACCACGACTCGCCAAAGCTAATGACGAGATACTTGAGCGTTAGGTAGATGGCCGCGGAGATGAAGGCGGGCGAGATGATGAGGCAGCAGATTTGCATCTGGAAACCCGTGTTGTCGAAGGGGTTGTCCCACATTATGATTCGGCCTGCGTAACCCACTGCCTCGCCTACACAACCCAGAGTCATGGCAGCCTGTGGTTTGACACTGTTAGTCATGTTTCGTAGGCATCAGTCTATCAGAGCAAGACACTTACCATATAGGTCCATGTCTTGTATCGGAGTCCCAGTCCAAGGTTGATGATAGCAGCAAGGGCAAAGAACCCCGTATATGCGGCGTTGACACCAATGTCCGGGTAGTATCCTAGAATGGTGCCCTCAACTGGGCAATCTGGGCCAACCTGTGTGCAGGTATCGGGTGCTGGAGGCGGAACGACCATGATGATGCTTGATGTGTTGGGTCGGGAAGAGAAGGTGTCTGTGGTGTTTGAAAGGAGACAAGACTGCTCGGTTATGGGCTGATGGTTTGGTTGTAGTGTGGATGACTAGTTGAGTAGCGGAACGTCAGGATTCCTTATATCCTATACTATTGTTTCTCCACGGTCAAATACGTGGATGGACACTTCAGCAAAGTCAGGTCTTCGGCCTAACTTTAGGCCTGCTCAGAGGCAGTGCAAGAGTACGAATCCACTCGCGGATCAAGGACATCAATCTCCGAGCACTAACACATGCAAACAGTAGTCTGATGTTTCGACCATTATCTCGCAACTCCGACCGAAAAGGGTTTAACGGAACTTTCGGCCGCCAAGCTATCCGATCTCGGGGCGTATTTGAGATAAGCTCAAGATGTACACGTAGTAGATCGTGGGCGAAGCACTTTCTAGCATGACAAGCAATCTGCCGAGCAATCTTTGAAGGGCGGTCTTGCGTAATTTGTAGTGTAGGTATAGGTATTGTGGATAAAGCAAAAGGAGACGGTATAATCACATACACCATGTACTATCCCCAAACCTCGATAGTCAAGAGTAGTTGTAAGCTAGCAACACCACGGAAGACAAGCAATGGGCGCACAGCATAGTTGTTGATCCAGACATCTATGGCAATCCCGCACCACCAACAATAAATCAGCTGTTCACTATTTTTTGAGGCACACGTCATAACCCGCCAATACGTAGCGTGTAGACTGTTGCTCGTAACTTGAAGACTCCACAGTCAATTCTTGCAGATTTCCCATGCTTGATACAACACAGTCCCTTTAACTAGCTTCTGCACTGTCACCTGACAGCAGACCACACTATAGCTTTACTTATTGTCGCTACTGCTTACACCAAGCACTACACTTCGCATGCATCTGCTATACACTTGTGTCATAGACACGAGGCTACAACTGTTGGGACTGAGTCACTCCTTCTATAGCTAGGGCACCCTCGTACTCGCGTTGATACTACTCATTGACGTGGAGAGAGCAGTGTTCATTGTGTTGAGGCGCAGACCGCCATAGCAATCTTGGTGTCGCGCAAGCTCGGTGCTTCGGCTTTCTCCCACTTCCGCCCCCCCCCCGGCTGCATCCGATAGTCCGTATCGACAATCATTTACCCAACAACATCCCCAGTCTCATGCTCACTCGGAAATCTTGAGTTTGTCTCCTGGATTTCTTGTCCAGTCTCCCGCAGTAGAACATAAACAGCCAGCCTCCTTGTTTGTTTTTGCTCTGTGGAGTTCACAGCTTACAGAACAGGTTCACCTATCGTCTGGCCGTTGGTTGAGGAGATCAGCGTGGTACCGAACGAAGCCCCAGCCCCAGCACCGTTCAACTGCCGTTACTACGCTAAGCGCCGTGACCTTTGTTGATCGACCGGCCCGCACGTTGCTCTCCAATGACACTGTGTTTTCTGCATGCTGGCTACCACACCGCGGATCGGTCGGACCTCTCAAGTCCGCTCGAGCTACAGACAGAAACTCCGCGGTACAAATCGAGACATAATACTAGGAGGTCACGCGCTCACTCAGTGATATCGGCATGAAATTCGCATGCACAGGACTGCCGGGAAATACTTGCCAACAGCTCCGTCCGACCAGCCACGTCTGATGCAGGGATGACTTGTGAACCTTCACCAACGGATTCTGGATGCATGCGCTTGCAAGGAATGGGCCTGTCACTTGTGTCACCAAGCTCGAGAATAAGCAATATAAGGCACAGCCAAGTACGCATCGGAAACGTCGCCACGTGCAGCTCTCGCGTAGCACCTACCGAGATGCATCCGGCCATCCGTCTTTGTACACCTACTAACCTTATTCAACTGACCCACGAGAAAAGGTACAGTATTTGGTCTTCGTAGGCTGTCCATACAGAATAAGCATGACGGCACCGGCTCTCCCACTCACGTCCGGAGTCTACTAGTAATAGTAAGCGAGTCGGTACCGAGATCTACGTTACGCTCGACCTTTCTGTACGAGCCGCACTAACCTGTTCCTAGCCTAGGCGCGCTAACACAGCATTCTCCTAATGCATACTGCGACTACACTTTTGTTTTGCAGACATGATGCACAACCGTGTCGCACTGGAAAGGGGGCTATCTGCAATCGACAGTTCAGATAGTCAGCCACAATCCTCACATCTAGCTGTACCCCACGTACCAGCACCAAACACTCTGCACTGGAATTGATACATCTTCGATATCTCCTCCATCATGCTCGAGATTAGTATCGGATCGTCTCTAGACCCACAGGGTAACTAAGTATATCTCAGCCGATCTCCTCTAGCGATGCGATCCGATCTCATCACGCGATTTGGCCATTGCGGGCACACACAGACGACCCTCCCAGGCACGGCTACCCGCTTTGTCTAGCAGATCTTCGCCCCCCGTCCAGGGGTACGTGGTTTAGAAGTATTGATTGTGCGTAAATAACACTCATCATGGCGGTCTCAGGTCCAAGGGCAAAGACGTCCGTTGTTTCTTGCGGGAGCCCCCGCGTCGATACTTATATTGCCTCCTGAAAGCCCTGCTCTGGAATGTTCTCTTGCGTCGTGCTATTGCCATCCTCCCCAAAATACCATGCATATTCCTCGGGCTGCATACTTCTTAGTGTGCGCCACAGTGGCGTATGCTAAGACTGTTAGCTATGACTTTACCGTCGGCTATGTGACGGTAAGTGTAACTCTTTAGTTCCCAGGATTGGCGACATGGCGTCGTGTCTCTTCCTGGTATACACAGCTTTACGTATACTGATAGGCTACAGGCCGCCCCTGATGGCTTCTCCAGACAAGTCATAGGGATTAATGGCCAATGGCCTATCCCTACTATTGAATGTGATGTAGGCGACACTTTGGTTATCACCGTACACAACGGACTTCCGGACCAAACTACATCACTCCATTTCCACGGCATCTGGCAGACTGGCACACAACTCTCCGACGGACCAAGTGGCATTACACAATGTCCTATTCATCCCGGACAATCCTATACCTACACATTCGTCGCGAACCCTGCTGGCACCCACTGGTACCATGCGCACGAAAAGGGCCAATACCCAGATGGTCTCCGAGGCAAAATGATTGTACACGACAGGGCTTGGGAGAAGACCCTGGGAATCGATAAGCAGATCTTCTTGTCAATGTCTGATTGGTGAGTACCTCGAAGTTGGTACAAACAACATGACTGACATATTGCAGGTTTCATCGCTCCATGCCGGAGTTGATTGATGATTACATGAGACCCGATAACACTGACGCCAGATTTGACTCGCCCAACGCTTTCCTCTTCAACGACTCTAACAAACCCTTTGACCTCAAACTGGCCAGGGGTAAAAAGTATTTGCTCCGCATCGTCAATACTGCAGCAGTTGCGTGTGGCCAGTTCCACATCGACAACTACACGCTTTCTGTCGTTGAGGTAGATGGTGTTCAGGTACAGCCTCAGGAAACTGATAGGATTTTGATCTGCGCTGGCCAGAGTTATGGTGTAGTGGTCAAGGGTCAAGACGACCCGAAAGGCGCGTCCAACTGGCACGCGTCCATGGACACAGACATGCTCCCGGGCGTTGCTCCTCCAAAAGACGACATATCCGTGATTGGAAGAATCGTCTACGACGTGATGCAAGAGGTTGAAGCGATTGAAAGAGAACTGCCCAACATTGCTCGCGCTGAACCCCGCGTCCTCGATGATTTCCAAGTGAAGCCGCTGGATGGCCAGAAGCTTCTGAGGCCCGTGAACAACCGAATCGACTTCACAACCAACCAGACTTACTTCCCTGGAATCGGGACGCGGACGCCTCTCAATGCTGACCCTTGGGTTGCTCCCAAGGTCCCTACGCTCTATACCGCCTTGACAACAGGCAGCATGGACCCCGCGACATACGGTCCTGGTGTCAACCCCTGGATCATCCAATCCGGAGAAATCGTCCAGATCCACATGAACAACCCCCACGGACGACCACACCCCATGCATCTCCACGGCCACGTCTTCCAAGTCGTAGCCAAAGGTCCCGGTGCGTGGGATGGCCAAGAGACCGGCTTCCCCGAAGTACCCTCAAAGCGTGACGGACTCGTCGTCCCAGCAAACGGACACGCCGTCATTCGCTTCAAGGCTGATAACCCTGGCGTGTGGTTCTTCCACTGCCATGTCGATTTCCACGCCGTCGGCGGTATGGCCGCTACCATCATCGAGTCGCCGAATCTGCTCCAGGGCTCTGTGCCTGAGGCTGGAAAGGCACTCTGCGCCGCCAGTGGTATGCCATCGAGCGGTAACTGTGCAGGCGAATCGTTTAGAATCACGGCATCAGAGGCACGTGAGAAGTGCAACACCGTATTCAACACAAAGGTCCGGGGCGCGAAGCTCGGGTAGCGGGTATGCCCTATGCATTTTGCAATTTTTTGTCCATAGAAAAATCTGTATTTCTGATCCTTGTTCTTATTCATTTTTTTTTTCATCTTTCAGCTAAGACGAAGTTATTAATAATAGAAATTTTGCCACGACCTCCCCGTCGTGTCTTCTCGTCATAAAAAAAAACCCTCCCAAGCATGCATCATCATCATAAATGATCGTGATCCTTCCCGCATCCACAAGACTTCTCTTCCTTGATAAGCCCAACTCTCCTCCCCCAAGCCCACGACTTCTCTGGCTCCCTCGCCATCCTCCTCGTCGCCGCTACATCCCGATCCGCCCATCCTTTATCCAACAGCGTAAGTTCCAAACTCCGCCTCGCATACCGCACCGTCTCCCACTTCCGCCCAAAACTCGCATACACCTCGGCCGCATGCTGGTAGGCCGTCGCAAGCCCCGCATGCAGCCTCTCCTGCTCAAACAAGCTCACCAGCAGCTCCGCCAACTCGGGCGTCGCAGCCGACGTGTTGCTCCAGTCATTCAGCGTCTTCTGCACCTCTTCAATCTGCAAAACCCGCGCATCGCTCTCCGCAGTAACAAGCGGATGCGCACTGCACGCCGAGCACGCACAGGTAAAGCCCCAATTCACCCTTAATCTGCCCATGCGCCGCACCCGCGTGACTTCATTGTTGATATACGTAATGGTAATCTCCTCGCCCGGGTAGATGGGCCGGATAGCATGCACGTAGTGCGTCATGGTGTCTTCGTCGAAGAAATACGCAGCGTTGGGGCGGCAGTCGTGGTTCATCATTGCGATTTCTGGGAAGAGGCCCGACAGCGTTTCCCCGGAGAGGGTCAGCTCGAAGTAGTTTGTGGTCAGGCGGTCGTCGACGGGGTCGTCTTCGCCTGGCGCGGAGCGCCCCATTAGTGTCCAGAAGAGGGATTGCGAATGGGGTGGTAGAGAGTCGACGGCGCGGTAGAGAAGAGCGAGACGTTCGGGTTCGGGTAGTTCGTCGAGGTCGACGTCGGTGATGAGGATTGGGGTCGAGGCGAGGATTTGGTCGCCGCGGTTGAGGGTTTTGTTTGCGACTAGGCCGCGGCCTTTGCCGGGGAAGTCGTGTTGGTAGTAAGGCGGGTTTTGGTAATTGTTGCTGCGGATGAGGGAGGCCGGGTCGGTGAAGGCGTGGTTTTCCAGTATCGAGTAGGCGTTGGTTTTGGTGGTGACAATGGAGATGCCGCGTCCTGATGCGAAGGTCGTGTTGGTGAAGACGCAGAAGGGGTTGGTGTCGGTGTCATTTTCGTCTTTTGGAGTGAAGCATTCCGGCCAGTAGGACCAGGGGAAGTTTTCGGCTTGTGAGGCTAACTTTTGCGCGTCTTCTAGCGAATTTGTGAATGGCGCAATTTGTGAGGTGTTTGATTCGAAAGCCGGCGCCGGCGGCGACAAGGTAACCTGCACTGAGGGCCGGCATTCTTCATTGTGTAGGACAAAGTTTGCAGGGCAAACATTGTGTAAAAGAGGTTGTTGCGCAGCGAATCCGATATGTGCATTCGACGACAATGCTAGAGCGCCGCCCAGGGCGCTCAATCCGATGATTGATTTCATTTTTGCAGGTTTCAAGCAAATCTTGAGAAGGAATTCAGACAGTAAAGAAAATATGGGAAGATAAGAAATATCATAAGTAGTCTCGACCTGACTACATCAGAGGGGATCTTTAGCCGAAGCGATTGAAACGCAAAACGATTGCAGACGAGGAGATGAAACCAAATCGTGAGACGGTCCGCCACTTCTCCACACCGCGAACCTAAATGGTGAGGCTCTATCGCGCCATCACTGTGACGTTTTGGGTGTGAAGACCATGGGTGGTTTTCCTATGGTTCCGTGGATGTGAAGATCTCCAAGTACGCAACGTCAGTCTTGTCACGCTTTGGACAGCAGCTTTCTTTGGTTAGCCATTGAGACATCACAATGCTCAGAGACGTTCTCTTTAGATTTTCAGATAGATATCTGCATACGAGATAAAAGCGAGAGCCATTGATGGGAAAAAGCTGGAGTAAGGAGGGGTTGCGGGGTGGGGCCGTGAGGCTGAAACACATGTGTGATTGCCCCTGGGAAAGACACGCTTTTGTTCCGCACTAGACAGGCTCTCGTACAGGAAGCAACACATTCTTTTTTTGTTCCCAATGCTTTTTGTCATACAACAGGTATAAGATCAGACAGCTAATTGTACTTTGCCAAAAATATCGCGCACTTGATTGGAAAGTAATAGCGCGTTAGTATTCCATCGCCTCCTCAAACAGACCTCGCAATTGCTCCCTCTCCGCATCCACATTCTGTGTCTCCAGAGTTGGCGCCAACATCAACACTCTTGCCTGGGGAATCGTGCCTTCAACCAGCTGGTCCAAATGCTCTGAACCAAAACCAAGTGCCTTCAATCCTCGGGGTTGATCGCCAAGCTTGATCAAGAACTCTGCCAATGCTTCACTCAATACCTCTCCAGCGCTCTCTGCCTTGATATTTGAAATATCCACACCAAAGGCTTCGGCTGCGGCCAAGTGACGCTCTGGGTTCGATGCGGCGGTAAATTTGAATACTGCCGGCGCTGTTACTGCGACACTAACTCCGTGCGGGATGATGGTGTGGTCGACTTCGTAGCCGGCGTGCTTGTACCCTGGGTTCTGACCTGAAATAGGATACGACATTCCGTGGCACAAATGGACACCTGCGTTACCGAAACCAACACCTGCAAGGGTTGCAGCTAAGAGCATTTGCGACTGAGCCTCATGGTCTTCGGGGTCTTTGACGGCACGCGGGAGATATTTGACAGTGTCTCTTAAAGCCTTGAGGGAAAATATGTCAGAAATGGGATTTGCACCTTGGTATGCAGGGCGGTTGATGGGATTAGTAGGTCGGGGAGTGCGTTCATGGTATGGTATCGCGGTCCAGGATTCCAGAGAGTGACAGAGAACATCAAGACCCGAAGACGCGTGAACAGCTGATGGCATAGTGCGCGTGTTTATCGGGTCTACTATTCCAAGAGTGGGCTTCAGGTTGCGATGTGCAATGCCAGTCTTTGCCCGCTTGGAGACTAGATCGAAGATTGCGGTACCAGTAGTCTCAGAACCAGTTCCTGCGGTTGTAGGGACTGCGATGAGGGGGAAGAGCTTCGAAGGGATAGGCAATCCCTTGCCCAGTGGTGCGTTGACAAAGTCCAGGAAGTCTGCTTCGGGGAAGGTAGTGTAGAGATTCATCAACTTGGCAGTGTCAATCACACTACCTCCGCCAACAGCCAGGAAAGCGTCGGGCCTCCATGGCTTCGCGAAATCAATGGCTTCCCTTATGCTGTGGTCCTTTGGCTCCACCCTGACTTTGTCGAAGATCTCATACGTTACACCCTCCCGCTCAAGTCCTTCCACAACCTGCTTCATTGCATCCAGCTTTCTTACCGTTTGGTCTGTGACGACCATGACGCGTTTGCTGCCCATGTTCTTAAAGTCCATTCCGACTTCCTTTGTACATCCTGGCCCGAAGCGGATGCTAGATGCTGCCATCTCAAATGCATATTCCTTTTGTTGTGAATGATCCAGCGGTGTGGCGAGATGTCGGCGCGCTTGTTGGACAGTGGACGGCGATTGATGGTAATTGGGGTTCGAATGGCAAGGGCATGATGGGGGATGCGTGTATTGTACGGTTCGAAGGAGATTGAGAGCCCTTGCTGCACGCGAAGGAGCAATGCGGATCGCCGGTGATATTGGCATTGTCAGGGACAGGAGTAGTGACGCTGATCGAGTGTGGAGAAATGCGGGGAGGTGGAGGTGGTGCGGACGGAAGTTCACACGCGACAATTGCTCAGAACAACAACTGAGACAGCGCAAGGCCTTTGGAGGATTCGCTTTTAACTCCTCTATTATCGGAGGAAAGGAAATATAGGAATGAAGGCGTTGCGTAATGCTATGCTCGCAGTTGCAATGTTGCATCTGCACCTCGGCTGGCTGGCATTCGACCATGCTCGATACGGTATTCCGGAATGTGGGGTAATCCGGTTCAATTGACACCGGATGTTATAATAGCTGCTGTGCCTCATTCCTGCATCATGGACCCTCCACCCGCGTGTATGGCGCCGATGCTACCGCTACAGTGGATACATCGTACCGGATATCCAAGGCTTTGATCCAACGTCAGACATCCTGCCGATAAGCTTTGAAGAAGAGCCTCGATTTATCCTCAGCTCACACCACCAGCACTACTAGACGCGCATCAATGAAGAGTCACTCCAGATACCAACAACTATGTGGAAATTCGATGGCTCTTCGGAGAGACTGAAAACACACAACATTCAAAGGGGAAAGAACTGCTAAGTGTTAATGAAACTGTTGGAGGCGCTGGTTACTTGCAATTGCAATTAACCCTTACCGACAAAAATAGAGGGTTAGAGGATTAAATTCCGAACATGCGATTCCAGCAACCTACTTGCTTTGCGACCATCGTTCAAGCCACTACATGTTTCCTTCAACGCTGAGATAGATCTTTCGGTCCCTGAGATTCGGAGCCGCATAACAAGGCGGCCGTTGAGATCTTGTCAGGTATGGTAGGGTCCTCTAATCTGAAAGGGCGTTTTCCAGCGTTGGGGCACAGGAGAATAAGCACGCCCCAAATACCAATATCGCGGACACCCTTGAACTGTCTGGGTTCCCTATTGGCCCCCAAGATGCGGCCAGTTTGTTATTTGAACTGTGCAGTTGGCGTGTGATCACACTCTCTATAGGTCTGCACTCCTATACGTTGTGAAAACGCCTGGGCGCCTAAAGCTTGCAACAACCTACCAATCATGGTGTGCTGTGGAAACGGGTCATCTCCGTTTTCGCATCCTTCAGTACCCTGGACTGCTACGCATGCGCAAAGTCGCGAACGAAGCACGTTAACTGTGTCGATGAAGATCTTCGAACGTTTCGGATGAGTGGTGTGCTATAGCACATTGGGTAGAAGTTGTATACTGGGGGTTCTTGCACAAGTTGGTTTTACAACAACACGGCCGGAATACCACAGCCTTCAGATCAGCCTACAACAGGGCTTTCGTTGGCGTATCACCGTCACAAGCGCAAGGTAGTAACAAATTCACCATGCGTATAGCGCGGCATATGCCGGGATGTTCGATGTTGTCGGGAAAGATTGGAACCAGGGCTGCTAACAATGGATGAACCTCAATCCTAGGAGGTTGGGCCGATGCGCTAAAAGATACAAGGCGGCCAGGCGGTCATCAGGCCAGGGCGGTTAATCGTGCACGTCCACTGGGTAATTCGAACTGCAATCTGAACTATACTGATCTAGCACAGACCTCCGGACGGGAGCAGTTCGCTTGCACCCATACTTCTCGTAACCATTTCTGGTTTACTCTCAGAACCCACCCCAGCCATTCACTCCCCACCTGAGTGCCTGCATCTGCAGGTTGCAGCGACGATGCAGTGTGGTCTGTGCCTGATGTGGTTTCATGGTGACAGCCAATTGTTGTGCTGCTATACGCCAGGCGCAACGACATGGCTGAATAGACCTGGCGTTAGCATTCGTCTTTACCATGGCATATTCAACGAGGCACGGCATGTGCAATGGTACTGACCCCACGGGGCGCAGATCCCAACCTTGTGAACAACTCATGCCCCAGCCGTGCTTACGGAAAAGATATGATGCGCCTCGCCCCCTTACTGTTAGGCTCATCACGTCTTTCATTTCCTTTTCTTGAAGTCTTTCCTTGTGTGGTATGATACCCGGGTGTCGTTGTGGTGTCGTTGTGCAGTGTCGTCGAAGTGGCCCCCTTACACTCCTCAGCAATGACCGTTCAGCTACGTATCAGCAGTTCAAAAGAACAACGACCTACCATCTACAGAGGCAACACACGGCGTCTGCTACGTCTCAGCGATGTACCAGACTCACCCGCGTCATCTGGAGCTGCTTGTGAGGCTGTCGAGTCGGATGGGCGAGCGTGCTGGGTCGCGCTCAAAGAGAGCGCGGGCGACATTTGGTGTTATCAACACCATGACGAGTGGAGGCAGTTGAACATACGTTGGGCCAAGATCCATACGGATGCGGAAAGAATGGCAGTGACAGGATTGGATGCTGGAAAACAAAAGATTATGAAGCTGCGCCAGTCTGTGGATCTCAGACGAGAAATCCAGGAGCGATTCTACCCCCGCGGTGGTGATATCCAGGACTACATCAAGTGGATCAACAAGATGGAAAATGACGTGAGGCAACTAGCAGACTCTTTGTTGAGTCAGTCGCATTCTCCACAGGTGTAAGAATCTCCGCTAATGCACAACAGTGGCGAACCTCAACCGCCGCCCAACCCCAGAGACCCCAGGTATCCATACCCCTTCACCTCATCCAAACAGCAAAAATCATGGAGAGAAGATCATGATTCTGCGCTCGCCACTAGACCCCCGGATACCAATCAACTCGCTAGACGGCTTACCTGACGATGGGACTATTCTTGTGCTAAAACACTTTTATCAAGACCTCTGCGCTGATAGTATTCGTCGGCTGTACGCCATCGTTCCTGATTTAGACGACTCAAACAACTACCCCAACTCACCTGGGCCGGATGATGATATTCTATTCGACGCTGGCACAGAGATAATCCGGGCCTGGTTCCGCATCATGGTCTTGAACGACAGTGAAGCTGGAACCTTGGAGCATGCAACAAGGTCCAAGAGCATCAGTGAGTTTCTTATGGGCTGTCAAGCTAGCCAGATTGAGATGTACTGTGATTTCTTCGAAAAGGCATGGCGTCCACATGCGGTTCAGTATCTTCGTGTAGCGATTTGTGCACAAACACTGGCAGGGGGTGACATCAAGACAATCCGGCTACTTGGTGGTACAATACCAAGTACCACTGAGGGTCTGAGAATGGCCAAGCCTTGTTGGGACATTCTGTAAGTTTTGTGCAAATTTAAACGGATCTTGCTGACCAATCTGAAGCTATCGGTGGTTCCCCACATTGCTCACTCCATGGACCATCGCTAGCATATGCTCCAACTTTGAAGATTACACAACCATATGCAAACTCCTCATGCTGAAGTTATACAATGACTATTGGTATGACCCAAATAGCATATTAGGTGAATGCGCCACTGGTGTGTATATGGGTTTCATACCTATGAACAAAGGAGACTTTACGTCAAGCACGGGGCTGAAGCAAGAAGACAATGTCTGGGTTCAATGTCAATCGCGCAACTATCTGTGTGGGCAAATGGCGATAGGGCATCCTATGACTAAGGCATTTCTGGACGAACTTCGCAAACGAACCGCCTCTTTGTATCTTGTTGTGTATGAGGGCACTCATGCCGACGCGACTGTTCACCCGACTGAGCCGGATTTGTTCATCAGCCGACACCGCACAGCCGCCAACTTGGATGAGCTGGACTTAGCCGATTTCACCACAACTCTTACCCTTGAAGACATCAAGAACGAGTTGCGCATGCGGAAGAATTCTATGTATGACCCTATCGTGGTTGACTCTTGGCAGTTCATCATCATTGATCGGGAGGTTGGATTACCATTTCGACTGACAGACATCGTGCAGGATACGCTGTTGATGCTTGTCGGAGACCCTTCACCTCGACAGATGGCCAAGCGCGTCATCCGTGAGGTGATCCCGCCCTCGGTTCAGGAGATATACCTCGAAAAAATGCAGATAGAGTGCTCTTCCGAGCTGCGCTATCCGCCACCTGGAGAAATCCAGCATGAGGGAAACAGATGGCGAACATTTGACCCGAACCCGAACATAATCGCCGCTAAGCACAAGAAAACAACGGTACAGAACATTTCGCGCGATGACAACCGCTTCATCCGGCACTTCGTAGAAGACCTGGAACGCTACGGCATTGTCAGTCTCGTTCCTGAGTACGAAGAACCGCAAACTAGACCCATCATTGTACAAGGCGCAGACGGTGCACCAGACCTATACTTTCCATATCAAGAAGATGCCACAAAGGCCGAAGGCGAGCGAGCACCAACACTCCATCTCCCACCGCGAACATGCCTGTCAGATTTTGCGCAAGCGTACCGAAAAAAGCACCCAAATTCCATCATAGCAAAAGGCTCCATCCAAACACACTACTGCGCCTGGCCAATGCCCGCGATCAAAAGCCTAGGTAAAACCGGACTCAACTTTGCCACATGGGAAGGCCACGTCTATCGCTGGAACGCAATGCGTAAGTTTTTCTCCCAAGTCTCTACAGACATCTGGATTTTAGTCAAAGTCCTAACACCACAATAGCATTCGACCGCCCTTCCTCGGCAAATGCCTGGCAATATTACATCCAGCACTTCCTCAACTCCAAGTATCCCTTCGTCATGTTCCACCTCACCACATTTGTCATTTGCGCCACGGACCAAGACGATGCTGAGCGAAAGATGGTCATGCTGCTGGATGAGATGGAAGATAGGGGGTGGCGGGTTACGCTGCCGAGACCGCATGAGTGGACGGGGGATGTGGAGGGGCTTGGGTTGGATATTTTGTATAATGGGATTAAACCGGCGTAGAGGTAGACGGGGATTTTGTCTGGATTTCCCACGTTTGTATCAAGAGGGTGGAGATCTGAGTTCTGGGTTACCATGCGATTCAAGTCGGTGTTTGTCAACATGTATAACTGGCGGCATTTTGGGGATTTCAGGCTTTGAGCATTTAGCGATGTTGCATACCCCGCCTTTCTACTATACTCTGTATTCGATATGCCATTATTTCTTCTACATGCTGAATTCTTCTCAATCAAGTTCTCCCGGGATATCTTCTTGTTCAGGAATATTCCTCACGACTTGCGTACCAACCACTCGAGTTCTTCAGCCTGCTCCGGACTAACAATCTTCTTGAACCCCTCCAACGTTAAGAAATCATGATCCGAGTACTCGAACCCCGGTATGACCGTCTAAATTCCACATTAGCATCTCCACCCCCTAAAATTTGACAAGGAGGGTAAAGAAAAGAAAAGACAAAAAACTCACCTCACTAATCAACAACCTCTCCCCCTCGGCTCCCTCGAGCAAAAAACTAGCCTTGTACTTGCCCCCCTCAACAACCCACACACTCCTTTCCCCCGCCGCAAAATCCATTCCTACAGCGAAACTCTCCACACGCTTGGGGGTCCCCGGTTCATCCGCATGGATGAGTACATAGCGACCACGACCAGAAATCAGCGTGTGAACCTAAATCCGTCGGTCTTATCAGTCACCCACACCCTATGTACCAGATCTCATTCTTATAGCATTTGAGAGACGATATGTGGGTAAAGAAATGGGAGGGAAAAAAAGAGAGAGAGAGAGAGAGAGAAAGAGAGTAACGTACCGTCCTTCCCCTATTCCTATGAAATCGCCCCATGAGTTCTCCCCGCGAGAGCATGTAGTAGATACTCGTACTCGCGTTGCGGACTGCGTTGTCGCCTGATAGCGGTTTCTCTGCTGTTTTCTTCACCTCTTCTTCTTCTCCTTCTGAGAGGAATGGGTTGGGGATGAGAAGGGGATTTCGATCCAACTCGGCGAAATAACCCCCCTCGATGTGTTTTTGGAGGTTGAGTGCTGATATGATTGATTGCGTACTTGGGGATTCTTCTGAGGAGGAGGGGTAGGTTGGGGTTAGTTTTGTGGAGAGGCCGGGGATGCTTGACATTTTGTCTGTTTCTTTTTTTTCTCAGGATACAGCCTTGGGTTTGAGGGGTAGCAGTCGGATAGAGGATCTGGAAGTGGGGGAGGGGGGATTGCAAGAAGGATTTAGGCATCTAGGTAAGCACGAGATGTTTACGTGATACATTGGGATTGATAAGAGGAAAATGACGTCAGAACGTTTTACTTTAATCTGGGCCGAACAAAAAAATCTGTTTGAATTTCTCTACAAGACGGAAGAATGAAAAAAAACAGACTAACATGCTCACGGCTCCATAGTGCTTTATATTCTGAAGATTTCCTGCACTAAAAAAAATCGATGCTACACTTTTTCTGTATATCTCTTGAGAAACGCGCGTGCTTTTCATCTGATTTCCTTAAGCTTGCATACCCTATTTCTGTCTTGCTTTAGCTTGCCCATCTATTTCAAATCAACATTATTTCGCTTGCAAATATCCCAACGCCCCCAAGTTGTTACCCAGTCCGCCATCCCTCCATCCACCCTTTACATTCACACAACTAGAAATGAATTACACAATAAAGCAAAAAAAAAAGAGACGCACCAGAATACTTTACACAGAAGTTTGATATAAATATTAAGAAAAGAAAAACCAGATGTAATTCCAGGGGAGACTAAATGACCATTATCGTCCACCCTGTTATCCCTACTACCCCTCGAGTGAGTGGCTACCACATGTCGTCATCAGCCGTCTTTGCTCCCTGGCCAGACTCGACATAATGATTGTAGCTACCATTACTCGGCTGGCCCAAGTAGTTTGAAGCATTGGCGACGCTGTATCCGCCATTGCCACCGCCACCACCGTTACCGCCGTTTGCGCTGTGATTGGAGTGATGCGAGTCGCGTGGGTTTTGGTTGTATGAGCCACCCTGAGAGGCACTCTTCTGATGGTTCCCATTTTGCTGAGGTTGCTGCGAGAAGCCATTTTCTTGTTGTTGATATACGCTAGGCCATTCTTGAGTCTTTTCTTGCTGCTCGTACTGTTGTTGTTGTTGTTGCTGCTGCTGTTGCTGGATATTAGCCAGGCTCTGTGAATACGAATAAAACATTCATACCTGCTGGTACCGCTGGTATTGAGCAAACTCCTCTGGCTGTACTTGCTGTTGCTGTTGCTGTTGCTGTTGCTGTTGCTGAGGCGCTTGTTGTGGCTGCTGAGCAACTTGTTGCTGTTGCATCTGCATCTGTTGCTGCTGTTGTTGCTGCATTTGTTGCTCCTTCTTTTGCTGGGCCGCTTGCTGGGCCTGCTGGGCTTGTTGAGCCTGCTTGGCCTGCTTCGAGTTGCCAATAGAGATTTGTGGATGCATTTGCTGCACCTTTGCAAGATACGAATACATAAAGTTACTTAGCAGAACCTGCGAGTAAAGTTCGCGACGGGGATTTGCGAGCTTGATGTGAGCCATGCGGTAGATGGCACGTTCCTCGAGAATCGAAAATCGAGTCCAGTTGTAGTCAATGTCGGGCTTCAAGATGCGTACCGGGGGGTCTGGTGACAATCCGCGAGAGGCATTCTTCTTATGAGACGACTCCTTCTCGCCCTTCTTCTTTCCACCTCCAAAGATGCTTGACAACAAACCATGTTCCTTCTCTTTCTTGCCATCGCTGGCAGTCTTCTTGGCACTCTCCTTTTTGCGCTCCTCTTCAAGTTTGACACTTTCACGGTCCAGCACCACGCTTTCACGTCCACGACCGCCGCCACCCTGGATGGATGTCTGCAACAGATCGAGTCTGGTGTCATCATGTCCTTTTTCTTGGGGCTTACTAAGCTTGTTCTTGGTCTTTTTGGTAGCATCCTTGTCCTTTTCACTCTTGTCCTTTTCCTTTTCCTTGTCGCCACTAAACCATCCCCAGCTTGTTTTCCTAGGGCCTTCAGAGCTATCCTTCTTGTCCTTTGGCTTCTTCTCCAACTTCCTGTCATCAGGAGCGTTGGGAATAATTGACAAGGAATCCACCCGATTGCTGGTGCCAGGCATTGGCGATCCATGACCTACTAGGTCGTCCATTGATTGGGAAGGTTTGATAGGAGAGGCCTGGGCGGCCTGGGCATGGCGATTCTGTCGAGCTGCAGGGGGCTGGCGTTGCTGGTTCGAAGGCGGTTGCTGAGGCTGTGGATAGCTACGAGGACCAGCTGGTTGTTGTTGAGACGGAGGCGGAAGTTGACGTGAAGAGGAGCGTTCGGGTAGTTGCAGCTGTCTTTGGTCTTGCTGAGGGGGTGTCTCGATAATCTGGGGCACTTGTTGTTGTTGTTGTTGTTGAGGAGGAGGAGGAACATATCCTGGCAGGGGTGCAGTAGTCCGGCCATTAGAAGCAATTCTCGAATGGAAGCGCCTTGGCTGAGGAGACGATTTCTGCTCGGGAGAAGCTGAACCAGGAGCTTCTTCCGCCGAGCTTGGTCTTTCGATGTTGGAAGTCGTGCGGTTCGGCGGAGGAGGCCTTGAAAAGTTGTTGGACGACCCTTCGAACGCTGAGTTAACAGGTTCAGAATGAGTACGGGAGAGAGGCAAGGGAGGGACTTCGGGTATGCTATCTGTAGAATGTACAGGCGAGGTAGAGGGCGAATCTTCGGTATCCGTTTCTGCCTGTCGGCCGCTAACCAGTCGCCGCGAAAGGGCCGGGCCTCCCTTACGTATACTGCCTCGTCTATAGGTGGTGCGTGTGGATCGCTTCAGCGTTCCCATGCCACCCATTTTGCTACCCGGAACAATGGGTAAATCTTCGTCATCGCCCATCTCACCTTCGCCACCAAAGGTCTTGTGGTCAATGCTCATGCGCCTTATGAGTGACACGGGATCTTCTTGGATATTCTCTAGTTCCTGGAGGTTCTCCAGCCCTCCGTTGGGTCTGGTGGCGCCAGAGCGTTTCCTCTCGAGCCTCTCCGCCCCATCCTTGTATCCTGAACCAGTGTCGATCTGTCTGGAGAGCATCGACTTCTTCCGCCGCAGCCCAGCTCCCGAACCCTGACGTCCAAGAGCAGCGTCTGGATTTAGCGAGTCCGAATCTCCCGAGCGGCGCCTGGTCTTGTCAATCTTGTCTTCAATGAACGTTTTGAACTCCATGGGTGCGAGTTCGGGGTGCAATCGGGCGGGGACCCAAAACAGCTTCGACTCGTCTTCTTCCGATGTAGCGGGGGGCGACGGAGGCGAGTTGCCAGATTGAAACGAGGGCAGATCCGGGTCAACACTGTTGACGCCCATGGACATCCGCCTGATAGCCTGCAGGTTACTCAGTTCCTGCGCAAGACCGGCAGGGCTCGACTCGTAGTCGAGATCATTGAGGGGAAACTGGTGCGAGGCGGTGCCCGAGTTGGAACGAGACAGTGGGGGAGACATGTGGCCGCCGTTGGAGGAGTCCCTACCCACCGCAACCTTGTTTTGGTGCGCGTCGGAACCATTGTACGGGTTGGCTGGGGTGGCGGGGTGGTCGGAGGACAATTGGGGCCGCAGCGGGGACCTGGCCGGAGGAGCGTTGGGGAAAGGGTCAAAGGCTTCAAAAGCACCAAAAGACTGGATCGAATCGCCGTTGGGGCTGGGCACGAAGCTTAGAGGCCTCAGGCTGCGTCTGTTGGACTCGGTGTCGCTGTCTCCGCCGTAGAGGTCGCCGATGGCCTCGGTGACGTGATGGTTGTCATCGCTGATGGAAATCTGGGGCGCGTGGCCTCGGCGGGGCGGGTTCCGCATTTGGTACAGGCGGTCCAGCTCTTGTGCTCGATCGGTTGCCTGTGGTAGAGCGAAACGTGGTCAGCTTGGGCGTTTGGATGGGCTGTGCGGACTTTTGCCGGAAGTGCAGTAGCAGCAGAAGCAGCAGCAGCAGCAGCAACAGCAATGCCGCATTCTCCTCTTGTGCTCGTGGTGTTGCCCCCTGGCGTGGCCGTGTGCAGTGGTGCATCCACGGCTATGTCTGGTGTAGTAGGAGGGGCAATATGCGCGCTGGTCGGGCAGGCAGGGGAGGGAGGAGAGACTCACCATATCGCGAGGGTTGCGGAGGACAAGGATGAGGGAGGGTTCGAGGCTGGGTCAAATGCCGCGGCCTGGGTTGATTAGGGCAGCGCCGGGGCGGCGAGGACATCCACGGATAGCGAGCGACAGACTGAGGGATGGGCAAAGGCGTCGGGCGTCTGGTAAGGCACAGCGAGAGCGACCATGACCAGCGGGCAAGACAATGCGGTGCGGTCGTGGTCCCAGGTGCACACAGTTGTCAGGCAGGCCCAGGCTAGCGCCGCTTTGCGTTAGGAGCGTCTACCGCAGCGGAGAAGACCCGATGAAGCCCTGCCATGACTCGCCCATGCCTCAAGGGGGACAGACTTCACTCATTGGTTTTTCTGCTCCACTGGCTCTGCCCAAACAGCCGCCGTCCTGGGGTTGCGTGCATGTCCAGCGTTGCCTGTCACCCTGCATGGCGGCGCCTCCTTGGGCGTGTCGCTCGTGGGAGCCAATCCTGTGTGCTGTGCGCTCCCCCCGTTGGACTCACCGGCCGCGTACAATACGGTACGCTACGCCTACGCCTACGCCTACATGATCGCCCTCGCCAGCCTGCCCATCCATGTACACGCTACACAGCACCATCTCCATCACCATTACCACGCGCTAGCCACCTGTCTTGCTGGTTCGTTGGCCGTCTAGCCGTCTCCCTTCTTTGCCAAGTGGGAAAATAGTCTTTGATTCCTGGTCCATCAACAGGCTAAGAAACTATCCTCCCAGCCACATTCAAGTGCGCCTGGGTAGGTACATGCCTCTAAGTACCTTTTAGTACTGTGTACATACGTACATCTAGGCACGCCCCAGCACATGCCAGCATACATACACACATACACACACACACACACATCATACTTACAAACATACATGCCTCCATCCATGATCAAGAATTGCTATGCCGCTTCCAGACAAAAATAGCAGATGCAACTGCACATGTAACAGCTCCTAATGCTAGCGAAAGATTCAAGTAGTCGTACTCGTCTTCCTCCTGTTTGGGAAATGCAGTCGACGGGTGTG